TTCCCACGTTTTGAATTTTGACGTTTATCAATTCTGACGGTCATGTCAATGAATGTATTCGTGTTGTTTTGCGAAAATGTAGCCGAAAACTAACGGTCGTAGAAAAAGTATAGTATGCAACAAGTTCGGTAAACTTTGTAACTCACTCGTTTATTAAAAACTCGCTCCGCTGCGCTCCGCTCGTGTCAAATAAACTCGTGAGTCAAATGCCGTTTACCGCACTTGTTGCATAATATGCTATAAGTCACGCGTTTATTAAGTTCTCGCTTACGACACTTGTTAAATGATATACTATGATTTTGATATTTTTTAACACTTAAATGATTTTATTATAACATTAATATACAGGGTGTTTCAAAAAACGCTCCGCTGATTTTACCACTTTTTCTGAAACGATTTAACATACACAACAGTTACTGCTGACAAAATTTAACTTCAAAATTTGCACTATATTTACTTCATAGTTGTTTCTCAAACAAGCATTATTCCCTATTCTACACAAAACTTCAATAAGTACCAGAAATAACAAAATGTGTACTACTTAAATTCGTATTGGACCTGCACAGAAAATCTGTATGTACAAAGTCTTAGCTGGTAAATTGGTTCCTAAATTTTTATCTAAATATGTTTATGTATTTAAAAGCTTATAAGGCGAAAATAACTAATTTTTGTTTTGTTGCCTGATTTATATATTGGGACTACTACTGATTTTTATGTTATTCGCCACAGAATTAATAATATTCAAGCCATGATCTTTTATGGGTTTTTGCACCAGTGCCGTTTTTTCCTGGGAAACTATTTTTTTTAGAGATGCTATATGTTTGATATGTATTGAATGGCTTTTATTTATTTCATTTTTATTTATCTATTTGTCTTATCTGCACAAAATAATTATTATAATAATTTGCCATCTGTTGTGCATTTTCCAACGGTTATTTTGTTGGGTTCTTCACTTTCCCCTAATATTAAAATGTCAACATCTTGGTGGTCAGAGGCTTGCAAAAATATCGAAATTTCATCGAAGTGTCTTGAAACACAACATACATTAACATTTCCAGAACTTTGTTGCTTAATGTAATTTTGGCCCTAAAATCATTTAAATCAAATTGCAATTGTTAAGTGCACTTTTCGATTCGAATAAATCAGAAATATTAGCAGTATATTTTTTACTTTAAACAAGAGCACTCTTTTTTATACAAAACACAAAATATTATTGTTGTCCAAGAAATTAAAAATATCCTAACACAAAAAATGTTGTGGCAAATAAGTTTTACCCCCGCTTCAGTAACGTTTATGGCCAAATCAAAGGTATTTATGGGCTCAGATTCATTTAGGTATCGTAAAGCATTTTAGAAATAATTTTAAAAAACAACTTTTTTGTTGGGCCTTTTAGCAGAACACTATCTTCTGAAAGAAGCGTTTCTCGAAACACTAAATTAATATCCTATTAACTCTAGAAATTTGCGAAGCGTCTTTCACCTAGTATGGTGGATGATACTTTACATTAACTTTTGTTGAGTATTCCAAGTAGTTGCCCCATATTTTTTGAATTTTTTTTGAAAAAGTATTTGTATTTTTTTTTAATGCAATTAACTTATTAGTTTCTTGTCAGACATAGGTAAGGATACGTAAGATGACGTCAAATGGTAGACATTTCAAACAACACAACTTCCAAAAGCTGATTATTTGGGTCGTATGACGAACGATTTTGGGTCAGTTACTGGTGTCATTATTCTCTGCCGATCTTTCGTCCAGCTTAAAAATATTCATAAAAAATGATAAACTATCTGAATTATAAACTCAACAGAGCTTGTCACTTACGAGGCCAATTTGCAGATGTTATCAGAGACGTGAATTTTGACATTTGTTTTGGGTATAAAGGCTTTAAAGATTGTTTATGATCTAAATGTGTTGTTAGGAATAAGAGTTCAATTGTGTGTTCTTTTATCTTGTGATTAAATTAGGCACAACTGTAGATTTCTTTAAGTGATATTTGCCATGGATAAATTGTTGTTATTGTTGATTTAAAAACCAAATTCTCATCCCATGTGCTCATACCATGTGCCCTATACACTAAATATTCTAATTTTTCGCCACCAGTCCCTACCGAAGACCACGAGCATGACGACAATACGAGCATGCAGGCCTCAAATAATATATCACTTACGGAGTTGTGCATTTGACCTTTAACAATCTAATTATTTTTTAGTTGTTTTAAGTAGGTCATAACTTTTATTTCTAAATAACTTTAACGACATTTGACTATGTTTTTTTTTAATAGGAGCTCATATTATTATCAATCAATCTCAATTGTAAAACTTACCAAAATGATCGATGAATGATTGAAAATTGATTGTTTTACGAGGATGCGGTAATACAGATTTATATTCATTCAAATATTGGGAAAAAAACAATTCTCGGACTAATCAAAAATTGACAAATCTGCCATATTTTTCGTATTTTTTTGGTATAACATTTTTTAACGTACACCCCGTAACTGCTTTAGTCAAAAGCTTATCGATTAATCGAATAATTGTTCCTTATACAGTGAACGGCTAAAATAGAAAATATTAAGGGTAAGTCAAAAAGTAGATATCGATATAAAGTTCCCATTTTCAAATGGACCATCATTTTTTTAAATTCATTTTCGAATTCTGTGTCAAATTTCAAACATAATTCATGTAATATACGCCATACCTATCTATTACTTTTTATGAGCATAAAAATAAAAAACAGTAATTTAATTTTGAAATGAACAGGTAAGTAACTAATACCAGTAAAGTTCTTAAATTATTACAATTATGTTTCTGTCAGTAAAGAAAGTGAATTTGAGCGTCTAAATCAAATTCAGAGAATTGAACTTTTAATTTTTATTGGATATGGAGACAAAACGGCAACTCAAAAAAAAAGATCCATTACTAGATTCCCAGCAAGTAAAAATGTCGAAGAAATTATTTTATTGGGTGTTGAAAATGTACACCATGAACGTCTTGTCAATATGCTAATCGGTTTAAAACCCCTTCCAAAACATCACTCAGAATATTCTCATTAATTAACAGTTTCTGACACAGTACCTATTCTTTAAAGTTTGCATTAATGGACACTACAACGTTTTGACTGACGGGTTGTAAAGCAAAATTTAATACATTTGGTTAGAATTACACTTATTGCATCAAAAGTCTTGCTTAGTTCTATAAATTCGGATATTTTTTTGTATATAGGTACTTATAAATAACTATATAAACTTAAACAAAATGTTTCAGTGTGGCCATTATTACAGTATTATTCGAATAGAAAATTTAGGGAAAAAACGACAACGCCGCACGAGTTTTATGAGATCCTTTCGGTGGCTATATTGCAAATGGAAACTGAAGCATCAATCTTGCTCCTGAGTCTAGCGAGAAGGGCTTTTTTACGTGAAACACACAAATACGAACGATAAATCAATGCCGGCTCGACTGAGCTGTCACTGGTTCGTTTTCCCTGCGAAAAAAGGAAACACATCCTACATCTCACAACCGCTCACCCGGTTGAAACTTTTGTTTTTAAAATACGAAAAAAAAATTCAGTTTTCGCAAGTATAGAAGTTTTCGATATTTCCCAGTATAGTCAGAAGACAAGTCTGTTATCTTTTCGAACTTTTGACATACTTAGCAGTAGAAAAAAAACGTAAGTTATATTAGTACTTTTTTTGTTTCTAAAAAGACCTAACTAAAATCCCTTTACAACCACTTTCAACTCCAGCGATGTTGCCAATAATTATCGAATGCTATAAAAGTACAATTTTAAGGGATAATAGTTCAAAAAACAATTTTCCATATGGGAACTCAGTAATAAGTTTAAAAAAGAATAAAAATACTTTCGTTAGACAGTGTAGTCCCAAAAATTTCTAGTGGATCAAACTTTATTTAAGAGGTAATTATATCCGCATTATTATTCTACTGGAATCAATTCCCTTCGCGGCAACGGAATTACATACCTATCCCTGAGGTTTGTGTGGGGTGATAGATTAAAGACTATTAAAAAACAAAAATTGTTCTTTTTCCCCATAACATAAATAGTATTGAAAAACCATACACACACACTCACACAAGGGATTGCGTTTTGCAAATTCCACCCGTACTAAATTATTGTGAGTGGAACGCATTTTGTAGGTAGTTTTAGGGATTATTTTTTTCATGTTGAAGACAAATGCTTTCCAGTTTTCCAAAAATGTATGCTATATGACCAACTTATTAGAATACATATTCATTTATTGATGCTAAAATATGTATGAAATATATAGACATCAAATTAATGCAACTTCTAGAATCCAGAGAAAACGAAAATGTAGGTATATTTCCGATTTTTATCCAAAAATTATTTACGAAGCATTATAATAACTTGTGGATGTATAAGGAAAATCCACAATTACAATACTAGAAACGAGAGAAATGAGGATATAAAATCCAATATATACTAATTATATTAATTTACGTAATTTCTAAAACTAATTTTTGTGCAATTCTATTACATTTAGAATTAATTATGACATATTGAAATACATATTTTTTAAATTTGTAATAGTTTTTAATTTTCTTGGTTATAGTTTCCAATACCTACAGTTTTTTAAACAAAACAAATTGTCCATTGGCACTAAATATTTGGGAGGCGAAACTTTCACCTGTAATTACTTGACTTGTGATGAAGAAACAAACGTTCCGTCAATAACAGATAATACAATTGCTTGGTGAATATTTTTTGCACTTAGATTTTTCCTGGACCATACCTAGGATGTCATGGTTATATTTACACTTTAAAGGAGTCATATTTCGTGATTTCGACTTTATTTAGATTTTGATAAAGGTTAAGTCTATAAGTTTATGAAAACAAATGGTTTGTATCGAGTTACATGTACAAATTTGGGAAAAATAGCTGATAATTATATCTGCCTTTCAATATTTCGCTTTGGCCGTGTTATCCAGAGCTATTAGCCAGCTTGATTACGTAAGGACGTCAATTTTCGTTTGTAGGTTAGAATAAACAGTAAGATCGTTTAAAAAAGATAATTATGAACTTCATTTAAAATTTATGACGAAAGTAAATTAAGAAATAATGTCTTTCAACGGAGTGAATATATCAGTAGAAGCTCCAATTGAAAATCAAATCCAGGAAATTAGTTATGACGGAGTTGAAATCTACCAGCCGTAAGTTAATATTGGCGTCGGAGCAACCATGAAATTAACAAATACGTATACTTGTTTTTTTTAGTCCATTGACACTGTCAGAAAGCTTAGCAAAATATGCCCAAAAAATAGACTTTAGCAAAACTACAGACGCCGATATAAAGAAGGAAGAGCAGAATGAAGATGCAAAATCTGAAAGTGATTGTAAAGATGGCTTTCAGTCTTCAGTGTGGCCATGGGATTCTGTAAGGAATAAATTAAGAAATGCTCACCAAGAAATATGTGTTCTGGCAGATGTGTTATCCATTGCTAAAGAAAAACGGTACATGGTGTTGGATCCTGTGCAACAAGAACCTTTGGAAACCAAACAAATGGTTCAAATTTATGCTCGGAAAAAGGCATTGGCAGGTGGCATTTTTTAACACTTGTAATTTTGTAATACTCGGTACTAAGAGAAACATTTCATAGGTGCCGCTAATGTTTTACTGGCAGGAGCAGAAAAACTGAAAACATCTCAAAATGAAGCTGCAAGAAATAGAACAGTACCAGATTTTCACATTGAATTGCTGCGATTGAGACAGAATTGGAGATTAAAAAAGGTTTCTAACACAATTATTGGAGATTTAAGTTACAGGACTGCGGGATCTAAATATCTTCAAGCTGGAACATTTGAGGTAATCAATAGTGTGATATATTCTGTAATTATAAGACACATTTTGTAGGTTACAAAAGCTGAAGATGAAGATAAACCCAATAGTCCTCCAAGTAGTCCATTACCGAGTGGACCACCATCATCTAAACCTAGTAGTGCATTGAAAGTGTCTATACCTTCTGAATTACAGGGAGTTGCTTACATAGAGGTTTTATGTCAAAAAGGTTAGGCAATAGTTTGACTGTTTTGAATAATTGACTCAAATAAATTCACAGACCAAGAAGATTTGTGTTCAGCAAACATAAACCTTCTGGGTTCTGGACCACCAGCCTCCAATCCAGATATGCATTGGCAACAAAAACTAGAAGCGGCACAGAATGTATTGTTTTGTAAAGAATTGTTCAATCAATTGGCAAAAGAAGCTGTGCAGTTGCAGGCCCCTATTCCACATATGGTCGTTGGAAATCAGATTATGGCAACAGTGTTGCCTGGGATTCAGTTGATCATAGCACTGAGGCACTCTACCACTGCAGATAAGGTTTGAACTTAAATATCTAAGTTTTATCAATTCTAAGTGGAAGTTGTAATTGTTTCCATATTCCCTTCCCTCTATGGAAAAATAAAAAATATTTAGGCCAATATCTTGTATCATGTCATCAAAAAAATTTAATTTAGAAACTTGAAAAACCAGCCCCTTCGAAAAGTGAACATGATCATGTTTTGGAACATTCCCTACACCAACTTCTGAGAGAGGTTCATCACAAAAACACTCACCATCCATTCCCTCATCCGGCTACAGGACCCTTGGGCCCATCTAAAAAGAGAATGATGGCTGGTAATTTATTACAAGGGAAAAGCTCTGAAAACACTAATTTGATTCTGATTTTTAGGCCCAATGGCAGCGGATCGCTACGAGTTGCTCGAGATGACAAAGCAGGAAACCTTGCTCGAACAGATTGTCAAACAGGCTCAGCACTTCATCATGCGCATGCGCACGGAATATGTTTTGGACACGATAGCCAAGGAGTTCAAAGATCCTTTAATTTCGTCTCATTGGAACACTTTGAACAGCCCAACTCACTCGTGCGTCAAAATCAACATTTCTACTCATGGATATGATGCCGTGTGTCGCACGCCACTGGTTATTCATGTGGGCGAAAAAAGTCTTAAATGTATTTGCAGGTATTTTCTTTTTTTTTTTCTCTATTTTGGTTAAGAATGTATTAAATCTAATTCTGTTCTTGTAAAAATATATGTTTTGGAACACACAGGTATTTATTGCAGAAAATTTATTAAGTAGGAACTAGCACTAACACTTCATACAGTAAAATTTTCTTTTTTAAATTCTTAAATTAGACACAATTCCTTCTTGGGTCCCATACAATGTATTTTCTTTTGGTTGTGATTTTTTAGGGATGGGAAAGTTATGAACATGAGCTATGAACCGCAAGAACTAAGAGATTTAATCTTTTGCCACATAAATCAACATCAAATATTGGCGGTGCAAGCTCTCGCTAAAACTATGGGATGGCAGGCTTTAGGGAACTCAAATCACTTAGGCAAGTATTTACAAATCGGTTTTATGTTTACTCTTTGAATGTACCCCATGTGTTAATAGGTAGTGGCCCAGTGGAACCTTTGGGTAATGCGAGTTCTTGCCTCTTAGCGTCTCCTACAGGAGACAGAATAATAGCGATACGGTGTGAACCTCAAGCTAGTGGAATACAGGTGTCAGTAGCTCACTCTCCTAGAACAGACTTTTTTCCAAGCCGGCTGGTCACAGAGAGGAAATGGGAACATCTCGGGGGTCAATTCCGTGATGTGAGATTGGATAAAATGGAAGGAAAGAATTTCCTGCACAAAATGGAACTACTGATGGCCAGTTTGACAAGCAACTCCTAAAAAACAATTAATTAGGGTTTAAACTATATTTATATAAATTAAAAAGATAAGGCAAACATTTATTAATTTAGCTGTAACAATTGTTAGCCATTAAATAACTTCTCCTGCAGATATTGCTGCCTTATTATTACCTATCCTGATAAACATAGAACAATATATTACAACAGCACTGGCTTATTTGAGTAACGCTCTCGGTCAAAAATAATTTTTTCTACTCCCGTCTTTAAAATACCTAATCCGGGCCACTTGGGACATTTCCGGGATTTTACTGCACGGGTTTGCGAGCAATCGGATATTTTCCGAGATGTTTCCCACGCTTTGAATTTTGACGTTTGCCAATTATATATATATATATATATATATATATATATATATATATATATATATATATATATATATATATATATATATATATATATATATATATATATATATATATATATATATATATATACATATGTATATATAATTAAAACTCATATACTGGGAGTATCAGATTTTTGACTACTAACTCCTGCAGTTGATAGGAAACCATTTTTTTAAATCCATACTTTATCTGCTAAATTAGATTTAATTCTAGGCAACTTAAAATACGTTTTAAGGCAATCTATAATCTATATCCTCCGTTAATATAATTCTCGGTTTTATGCAATAAAATCACATAATTAATCTGTTTGCCATATTCTACCGAATGTTATATTACATCTGGAATTTGGAAATGTTTATAAGGAAAAATCAAAAATATCATTGAACTGGAATGTTTTTATGATGTTTACATAATTGCCAAGTTTCGACGAATTTCTGCAGAGCACGGATGGTGGCATTCCGGAAAACGAAAATATTTCCTGCACACGTTCATGCATATAGCTAAAAACATAAACGGACTTGCCACGTAGATAAATATGGAAATGAATGTCACTATCATTTAACAAAGAAACCTACTTAAAGTAATTGAATATAATACTTTTGTCTGTGGCATGTATTGATATGGCAAGATTTGGCAACATGACAAGAGTTGGCAGATGTAACATGCGCGTTAAGATTTAACGCTTCTTTCCGATTCTTCGCTTCGTAGACCCAAGCTTCTGTTGTTCATTTTTTAAGGCGGTTTGGGTTGATTAAAGTGAAATAAGCAGTACTACGATCGTCGATTCTACACTCCGATATTGGTAACTAATAGTATGACAGTAGTTCTGCAATCAGCGTATTCTTCGTTGTTTCGATTTAAAACGTTTGCTGCGAATATCCAGGCACAAAAATCAATTAAAACGCCGCCCTACTCTCCGACATTTTGTTCTCCAAAAACCGCTTAGGTGCAAAACACCCGAAGGAAATATACCTACGTCGCGTGTGGTTTGCAAGCTCCAACAAAATAATTGGATCGTACATTTTAGTTAAGTATTTCTTCGTGTGGGAAGAAAATTCCAAACCATGCTTGCATATTACACAACACTGAACAATTCTCAATTGAATATTCGCCAAACTACTGTTTATAATTTCTATACTGTTATGCACGCATGTCTCCATATTTCGCAGAATAGTCATGAGCGACCGCACTTCAGACAGCGGGGCGAGAGTTTATGTTGGAGGCCTGGATAACAACATCAAAAAAGAAGATCTTGAAACGGAATTTGAAAAATATGGAAAACTCAATAATGTTTGGGTAGCATTCAATCCTCCAGGTTTTGCGTTTATCGAGTTTAATAATGTTGCGGACGCCGAAAACGCCGTTGACAATCTCAATGGGATTGACCTTCTGGGTTCAAAACTAAGAGTAGAATTGGCGAGGGGTAAATCTAGAAGAGGAGGTTTTAGAGGGGGTAGAGGCAGAGGTGGGGCTCCGTATGGTGATTATAGAGAGGATAGGGGCTTCCGAGGAGGACCTGGTGGTGGTGGACGATTTGAAGGAGGTGGTGGTGGATTTGGTGGAGTTCGACGAGAAGATGGAGGAGGCCGTTTTGGTGGGAGAGACTTTGAAAGGAGGAGCGATGGTTTTCAAAACAGAGGTGCAGGCCGAGGTGGACCACCTAGAAGATTTGATGCAGACAAATCATACCGTTCAAGGTCACCAATGGGTGGAATCCCAAGGCGTTAAGATTTTTAGGCTAAGAGTGAATTAATCGCTTTCTATGAAAAGCAGGTATTCTACCTTTAAGTTTGCATATATGTAACTTCATTTTGTGCAGTTTGATAAATGGCACATTGTAATACCTTTATGATGTTAAAGATCTTTTTTCAGTATGGTTATAGTGATGTTATTTATTAACAGGACACTAAAATAAGTCAAATAACCTGTTTATTTTTTAATTATTTCAACTTTTCTGATTTCTTTATTATAATTTACATTGAAAAAATAAACGTTTATTAAAAGTAGAATAGCATCTACAGGGATACAACTCTGCAGTAAGGAATTCTTGATGATCGTTTTGTTGGACAAATGTGAATGTAAAAATCAAATGGGGAAACCACCCAAATGCGCGTAGTTGCACTTTCACTAGGTGTCTAGCTAAATTTTAACTGTGAATCTGCTCGGGTCATCGTAAGAATGGGTATGAACCAATTAGTTACTTCAAACCTGACTTGGGTTCAACTTTTAGCTAATAATTTTTCAATAAATTAAAAGCCAATAATAGTTATATGGTTTATTAATGTTACAAATATTCTAGATGGTTACTATCTAACTAAAAGTAAACAAATTCAATTATAGTAAAAAAACATAATCACCAAAGTTAAGAGAACAACGCTTACAACTGAATCTTTTCTGCTAAGGAACATGATAACCCAGTACCATCTGGCTCCACTTGTAAAGAAGTAATTTTGCCATTGTCAACTACCATGGAGTACCTATTAAAAATTGCAAATGATTGTTAGCTAATCAACTGAAATAATTGATATACCTTTTGCTTCTTATACCACCAAGTGGAGCAATATCAACAGTTAGATCCAAAGCCTTGGCCAGCGCGGCAGATGGATCAGCCAATAGACGAATTTTTCCTGCAGTGTTTTGGTCTTTAGCCCAAGCACCCATCACAAAGGGGTCATTCACAGAAACGCATACAATTTCACTTATGCCTTGCCTTTTCAAGTCTTTAGATTTAGAAACGAAGCCAGGGAGATGAGTCTAAAAAAAAATATATATACACAAATTTCTAAACAAAAATAATAAAAATACCTTTGAGCATCCTGGAGTAAATGCACCTGGAACAGCAAATATAATGATCTTTTTTCCTTCCGCTAATTGGGCCAAGTTCACTTTGTTTGTGGGCAGGTCTTCAAAAAGATCAACATTAGGAATTTTATCCCCAATCTGTTAGAAAAGCCGAAAAATAGCATGATTAGATACTTAATATGTAAAGGAAAGAAAAAAACTAAAAGTAGGAAGAAATCATAAATCGGGCCATTTTGAAAGTTATACTAATATTTTAAATAATATATATTTTGTTAAGCTGGAGTTACATTACGCAACTTTACCTTCACCATATTAACGGAAGTCGATTGGAAAAAACGACGAAAACCTTTGCAGAAGCAAGAAATTGTACACCGACTCAGCGATTTCCCGGAGTACAAAGCGACAACACCAACGGGCATTTTATTTATTGGTGGTTTTTTCACTTTCCCCCACCGCAAAACCGCAAATTCCCATAAACCAGTGGAATTTTTAAACAGTCATGAAAAATTCTGACCAAAGTAACAATTTACGTTTCTTCTTTTTTCATTTTCTACTTGCAAGCAGAGTCACAAATACAGGATTGTGGAAAAAAACTTCTAATTAAGTAAAGCCTATTTTCTATTCTATGCTGAAGTTGTGGCTATTAGTCATGCTCTTTACTTGATATTCGACCATAATATTGAGAGGGTAGTTATTGTATCTGACTCTAAGAGCGCCCTACAATGCATTTCGCGTACTCAATATTCTGCTCGGTCGGATCGTTTAGTCCTGGATGCCAGGGTAAAATTTCTTCTTCTTAGAGATATTCGGGGATAACAGTCAACCTCTCTTGGGTTCCTAGTCATACGGGCATCGTGAGAAACGAGGCAGCGGATGCAATAGCTAAAGACGCGGTGAATTTACCACTACTAAACATTTAATTATGCTAGAATTCTTCCCCTTTGTTAAACAAACTACTTGGAAATTCTGGACATTAGAATGGAAAGAAATCGGACAGAGTAAGAGAAGAATATACAGAGACTTTTTTGAGTCTCCGTCAGCGCAGCCTTGGTTCAATAAATTTAAACTCTCGAAATACGAAGTATCTATCTTGTGTAGATTAAGAAGCTGTCATTGCTGCGGCCCGGTTCATTTATATCGAATAAAACTGAGACCTAACAATTTGTGTCAGTGTGGAGAGGTAGGAGAGTTACACCACATCCTGTTTGTTGGCAGACATCATAGGAATTTGAGTCAACATCTATATGAGAGCTTATTGAGAGTCGCAGTGCCTGAACCCATTCATATTCATTCTCTTCTGTTTCGTTCATCTAACCTCGATTCTATTGCTTGTCTTATAGGGAAATTCTTGCATGCTTGCCGCGCTTGCTTGTAGGTTAACTTAATGGGTAGTTTAGTTCTTGACTGATCCTTCTGGTTCTCTTTGTTTTATCAACTGTTTTATTTATTTCGTTTATTAAACACTCACGCCGGAGAAGATCTGAAAACCCTCGGAGGATGCCGTAAAATAGGCGAATGACCAAAGCATTCGTGCTCAGCGGTGAGCGAATAGTATTATCTTTCTCTCTTTCTATTCTATGCTGAAGGTCGCCATAGAGAAAAGTTTTTTTTATTAGTTTGTACCTCTTTAGTCTGTGGTCTGTGCACGAGGATAAATATGGCTTCTATATTGAGGTCGTCGAAATTTGTACGCTATATCGCTGGATTTGCCAGAAACGTGGTTGTAAGTACACCAAGAGAATTCGACGGAAGCCTTGTAAACACTGCGAATCCACAATGTCTATGTGGGGCGTTGTCAAGGTACGTCTATGAAACAATTCTTGCTGAACTTAACCTATCTTCTGACCGGCCTTATGCAATTTGTTATTAATTTGAATTTAGATCTTTGACCTCGCAAACGTCCGCGCATCACGACCAGAGCCTCGAACTAAGACTCAAAACATTAGACCAAGACGTTCGAAAGTCCGGTAGAATCTCCCGAAGGGATATTGAAGATATTCTTGAAGAAATCCGAAACACACGCTCTGCCACCAGCTCTCAATCTCTTCTTGTTATTCGGTGTTGCGGCAGTTTAGTTCCAGAAGAACTACCTGAAGTTAGAACACAGCTTGTGCAGGAAATATGGACAACTTTGAAAAAATTAAATGTTCCCATGGATGTGTCACATTACAATGCCCTGTTGAGGGTCTATTTAGAAAACGAGCACCCGTTCTCTCCAACAGATTTTTTGAGTGACATGGAGAGCAAAGGCATAGAACCGAATCGAGTTACTTATCAGAGGCTCATTGCTCGTTACTGTCAAAATGGTGATATTGAAGGTGCTACCAAAATTTTGGAATTTATGAGGGAAAAACAAATGCCAGTTAATGAAAATGTTTTTAATGCTCTCATTATTGGTCATTCCGAAACAGGGTAAGTTTTTTATAATTTACTCAATAAAAAAATTGTGCACACACATTTTTAAGAATATTTTACAAATGGCCTTTTTTTTAGAGATATGGATTCTGCTCAGGGCATCCTTTCAGTAATGTCTCAAGCAGGTCTTGAGGCCAGTGCTGATACTTACACTACTCTTCTTTGCGGTTATGCAAAGAAGGGTGACATTGACAAAATACTTAAAATTGCTGATGAATGTGAAACCAAAGAAATTTACCTTCTTGATAAGGATTATTTAGATATAATATATTCGTTGGCCACTAATGGACACTCCCAACATGTACCCTTAATAATTCGTAAACTTAGGAAATCAGTTGGCTATAATCAGGATGCAATAAATATGATACTGAGGTTAATCAACAAGAACCAAGAGCCTGCTGCTTATGAAATATTAAGATCCATGTCTAGAGGAACTCGATCTGATGGCACCTTAATGCCGGTAGGCAGTTTTTTTATAAGGCAGTTGGTAAAATCGGGAAAACCTGTAGGACTGATTCAAGAATATTGTGATAGACTTTCCTCAGAGGGCTTTTATGATAGAGGTTTTTTTTTGGCCACTGAAGTCGCCATGGAAATGGGTAAAGAGGAAGTAGCATATGAACTGTTTAACAAACTTCAAGAAAAGGGCATAGAGATAAGACAGCATTATTTTTGGCCTTTGATTGTATCCAAAGGCAAGGAAAAGTCGGAACAGGGAATCATTAAAATTTTGCAAAAGATGGGTGATTTTGGCTTGACTCCGAATAATGAAACTATTAGGGACTATGTCTTGCCTTATCTCCATGGTAACAGTAGCCATATTTTAGAGGTGTTGAGAGATACTAGTGTGTCCATAGCTACAATTACCAGTAGTCTAGTAATTACATTGCTTCAAAAAAACAATATAGCAGAAGCTGCAGCATTAGCTTCTAGCGTTAATGCCTATTACATTCCAGAACAGGTGAGGCAACCCTTAACTCGATCCTTTTATGAAACAATGGATATTAATTCTTATATAACTATTCTTCGTTCAGTTTACGAAAATTTAGACAGAAAAAGAAATACAAAGTCTGATGATGCTGAAGAAATTGACCGTAGTGAGATCTTAGGATCTTTCGTGTTGGCGCTGGCATTTCACCCAAAGTTCTTAAATGTTTTAGTACCTGTGCTGTCTAGATTAGTAGAGCAGGGTTTGAGTATTTCTACAACATCTGCTCAGAAGATAGAAGAAAAATTAGGTGAAAAAATGACAGAAGAAATCTCAGTTTTACTTGGGAAATTGACATCTGGTGAATTAACCCCAATTCCCTTTGAGAAAAAGAAACCTATATACACGCCGGCAGATCAAATGAACATTCAGCAGCTAGAGATTTTGATCAAGAATCTTGAATCCAAAGGGCAGGATACCAAGGGATTGAAAAGAAAACTTTTTACTTTGTACTACCGAGCCAAAGATCTGGAAAAGATGGAGTATTTGTTAGAAGATCTTAAGAAACAAGATTTTGTCATAAATAGTGGTATATATGCCCAAATGCTAGATATATATGCTTACAAAGGAATGCTGGAACAGGCATTGGAGCAATATGAGAAGCTAAAGCAAATGGCGGTTGATCAATTTGTGTTGGACGAAGGGAAAGTCATAAATTTGGCCCATTTGTTGGCTAGGAATGGACGTTTTGATGATGCAATTAAACTTTTGGAAGGTTTGTTTTTGCTTGGTTGATTATATTATTTTTTTTTGCGAGTTATTTTTAACATGAAAATATGCATTGGCATAAAAATTAGGCTCTTTAAAAGTAGTCACATTTAGAGTAAGACAGTTTATATTTATTTTTTTATACATGTTAGTACTCAAGCGAAAAATACAAGCACCGCTTTCAGAAATCAAAACAGCTCAGAATAAATTTGTCAGATCCAATGTTTTTCTATTTTTTCCGCTTTGCATTTTTGTTCGATGTTATTTCAATGGAAGGCAATTGCCAGTATAATACAATTTCAAACACAGTGAAGTAAAAAAAATGGGGGCAATTTAGGGAGGCAAGGCACTGCACAGTTGAAAGTTGCTATCAATGTAAATTTCTAATTTATTGTTGCAACATATGCCATGTTTACAGCATATATGAACATTACATAGATATGTCAATATCTAACTACATTTACAATTTATTTTCATTTCATATTTACAACATATACATACAATACATATAAAACGTCAGTGCTCCCCTGTAGAGTTTGGATTATTGGAAAAGTACAGAAGTTCCTGATCAAAAACATTCTATATCTGCTTAATCGCCACAGTTCATTCTGCTGAGTCCCTGCTTTCATGTAAATACAGAGGCTCTACATTCCTGCTGCACTGTAAAAAACAATAAATATTTGACAAAGAAAACTCATTTTTTCTTGGGCAGAGTTGACATTACTCTTTTCTTATAAAGCTCCTTCTGTCCATTTCTGAGATACTGCATTGTAAATATTATTGTATTTTTCATTTCAGAAACCTCGGTTGACACTAAATTAGGTTCAAATTACAACTATTTTGGTCAAGTATGGCGTTTCTTAAATTATTTGGCTGAGGAAGGAAGGGTAGATGAACTTAACCAACTTTTTGATGTTTTGCTTCGTAAAGAATTAATCGAAGTCAATAATGGATGCCTGGGACCTCTTATAAAAGTTCATTTAGTCAGAAAAGAATTGGACAAAGCTTTGGAAAAATTTGAATGGGCAGTGACCAAATTTCGTTGCACTCCTTGGAAAAATGAACTTGCCTGTCAGTTGATTCAAGTGGAGGATGCTGAAAACCTACAAAAGCTGACTGATTTAAGTACAGTGGTGCATGGAGAGATTAACAGCCTCTATGATTTAGTCTTCTCATTTGTGGAATGCGGTAGGATAAGGCAGGCTAGAAAAATTTTGGAGACGCCTGGCATGCAGAACAGACCACAAAGAATAAACAACGCTTGTGAAAGGTTAGTTACTTGATTTTTTTCTAACTGAACTAGAGCTTCTGTCTACTATACTTTTTATTCTCTCTTCTCGTTTATGTTGTTACACTATTTTTTCACAACTCTAGCTTTAAAATTTGATTTAATAAATAAAAAAAAATTTATGTTCCCAAATGGTCGATTGGAGAACTGGATAAAAAAACATTTGGGAAATTGATTTATATCGGTAAAATAAACTTTAGGCGATTGAGAATCACAAAAAATGTCCACAGACTTGCGTATTTGGTTTGATAATTTTTGCTAATAGTTAATAAAGTACATCAGTTGTAGTCTAGTTTTATTATATATTGTTCCCATTGTTTGTTTATTTGTGTGAATTTAAAAATCAAAGCAGTTTTTGATTTCTTATCCGAATTTGTTCTTTGTAATTATTTTTACGTAATTCCATTATCAAGTGTAAAATTTGTTTTTAGTTTTCAGCATAGAAAATTTGACTTTTTTATTTCGGATTTTTCGTTTCCTGAAGATTAAAATATATTGTTTAATAAAATTAGTTTCATGTACATAATAGTATTTTTAGTATCAATTTTTATTCAACAGATATCAAAGTGAAGGAATGATTAAACCACTTGAAGATTTGAGGGATGCAACTAGAGATTTGAACCACATTGACCGCAGTGATATTTATTACCAACTTCTTTTGAGCTATATTAAGCAAGACGATCCTGAAAAGTGTCTCGGCTTGTGGACGCAAATGCAAGAAGAAGACATACCCCCTTCAGAAGATTTTCTATTGAAATTGAGCAATTTTTTGAATGAAAAGAACCTTGATGTCCCTTTTGTGGTACCCAATAAAACGTCAGCCGCTGGGGAACCTGCTCATCTTAAATCTACATTTAAGCAAAAACTGAATGCCAATGATATTGATGGATGTTTAAGGTTAATTAAGAACAGCATAGAAAGTTTTTCACTTAGTGATTTATCAGTACTTATTGAGAAACTTGTTCAGAGTGATCGTCTCAAAGAAGCCTCAAATTTGACATTGAACGTTTTGGGTCGTGGGCAGGTGCCAGCTACCAAAGTACTTAAATTTTTGGCAAATAGATTGGCATTAGCAGGGAATACCGCAGCTCTAGAAGCTTTAGGCAAAAAGATCAACCACAATATGGAAAAGGCTTTATCTTTCCACAACAAACTTTGTCAGGCGTACCTGGTAGCTGGTAAGGGGGACCAGTTTCTCCATAGGCTAGAAGCTGAAATTGACAATGTCGCAGAAGAGAATCTGGAATATGTAGGCGAGAAGTTTCCAAGGGGCGGGGCATGTGGTATTTTGGAAAGGCATCCTGAATTAACTGGAAAGTGTAAGTGATATGTTCACCTTATTAAGATATGATGATCAATTATTAACATCTTTTTTAAATTACAAAAAAAGTTAGTATCTGACTTCATTATAAGTGTTTTTTTATAATTGGCAACTACAAAATATGAAAACATTCTAAAGTATGGATGCTTAGATTTTTTGAGTTTCATTTCCAGTTACTGTTCATTTTGTTTATAAAATTAAAATTTATGGAAATGAAAGCTGCAATCGCTTATCCCTTAAAATTTACTCTTTCTAGAAAATTTTACTTTGTGTGAAACTTTATGTTAGATTTTCTTACAAATTCATTTATGAGTAATTAGTGGGGTCTTTTTAATTGGGCTATTGAAGATTGAAGAAAAATACTCTGAAATTTATTACTTACATTTCAGATGAGGAAATTGCTATTAAATATGCCAAAAAGAACTTGTTGGGGCCATTAAACATACTGTGGAATCATTATTTCATAGGAAAGGAAGCTGACAAAGCAAACCAGATTTGGAATGAGTATCTGGTAAAGGCTCCTAAAATAATGTTTCAAAGGATAGTGAAACACGCCAGGGAACACAAAGATGACGACTTGATACAAAAACTTATCAATCATTTGAAAATTGGTCAAGTGACAGAAGGTGCTATGGGCAATGCTTACAGCTGTTACTTGGATATATTGGTGGCTAAAGGAGATGCCCAAGAAGTCAAAAAAGTATTTGAGAAAGCTCTTAAGGAAGTCAAGATTGAATCTCTCAACAGGACAGCTGTATTAAGGGTTAAAGCGTTGTATGAATCATTGGGTGAAGTCTTTAATTATCCAATTCCATCAAAGAGTGCCAAGAAGGTTGAAGAAGAGTCTTTGTAGGTTAGACGGCCTTGTGATTGTGTTTTATTAAGTATTAAAATTTAAGAGTTTAATAAATAGATTTTTTTGTGTTCATTGTTTAGGGGGACTAAGTTTTTGAGTGCAAGGAATCAACATTGTTTTTATTTCTTATCAATCTTCAGTTAACTCATGGGGAGCAGAAGGTATGTCTTTTAACAGATAAAATTGGCTTATTGTTTTGATGGAATTTTGATACAATAAACAATACTTTCTGGCGTTAGTATTACATGGCAAAAATGTTTTTACTACGCATATAATACTTGTGGGTGCATAAGGAAAATCAATAATCTGTAACGGGTTCAATTTGTCATTGACTACTTCGACTTATGTTTCTCACAGGTAGGTTAATAATGCTCGGAGACTACCTATCGAATGTTTTATTCTCACAATTACACACTGTCTTAATCATCAAAACTACTGGTACTGCTAATTATTCTTCACTACTTCATTCTGTTCGAACACACTGTAACTGCTTAATTGCTTGGTGTGATTTCTGCCCAGTGCTCTGAATGTCAAAGCGAAGAAATTCAATCAAGCGCGGGTAAACGGCGGGAGTAATTATGACTCTCTTAACTATCCTGGCGACGTGATCTCGGTCAGAGCTATTATCTTGGGGGCTCGAGGCATTTGGTGCCCGCTCAACGACGGTGTGGTGGGGAATTTGGGGCTGCACCCATCAGTTTGCCAGCCCGCCAACGCGGGCGCCTGCCCCGTCGCCGTCCCCGCCGGTGGAGTGTGGTGACTCCGCCTTCAGGGCCGGGCCGTCCTCTTCGTCGTCGTCTTCACCATCGTCCGCCCCTTCCTCCGCCGCGTCCTCGCCCGGCGCTCCGGCTGCCTCCGCCTCCCCGACCGATGCCCTTGCTACTGGGGCACCGGATGGCACTGAGGCCATCCGGGAGTACCTTTCTGAGCTGGCGGCCTAGGGAGGAGTCTCACACACCATCAGGGAGCTCGTCGGCCGTATCGTCGGTGGCATTGGGGATGCGGTCAGTGCGCTGGAGGCGTTATATCGGGCTCTGTGGTCGCCTGTTGGAGCCGCCCTGTCGCTGCCCGAGACAGACACTGTGCGGCTGCGGTACCTATGCGCCCGGGCGCGCGGCGCACGTACAGTTTCAAACGCTATCAGGAGCTGTACGATGAGGACAGGTCTGCGCTCGCGAACCTCATCGTTCGCGGCGTGGTCCCCGGCGCCATGGGAGTGGTCCCTCTGGATGGAAAGATAAGACACCGTCATGGAGTCTGTATTCGCCTGTCCTCCTGCGGTCCGTGGAGACAGCCATTTGCTGTCGTAAAGCGTCCAGTGCCGCTGGTCCGGACGGCATGTCGGGAGCCTACCTGAGGAGGCTAGATGTCCGGAGCGTGACGATCCTTTACAACACCATGCTCCTGACCCGCCGCACGCCACCTATCATCAAGGGTTGCCGTACCACCCTGATTCCCAAGGGTGACGGCGACCCTGCTGATGTCGGATCCTGGCGGCCGATCACGGTCTCTAATATACTCATTCGAATCTTTCATCGTATACTATAGGCAAGCTTGGGCGCCCTGGAGATTCATTTCACTCAGCGCGGGTTTCGAAATCTGGATGGGATCTTGGCGAACGCCATCATTTTGCAGGCCGCCATTAAGGGCTGCCGAGCCTCCTCAAGGCCGTACTGTGTCAGCGCCCTCGATTTGCGGAAAGCTTTCGATACTGTTCCGCATGACGTACCCGGACGACCTGCTAGTCTTGACGCCATCAACGAGGGAAATGCAGGTCGTCCTTAAGGAATGCCAGCGCTTCTTCGAGGCCCGGAGTATGGAGTTGAATGCCAACAAATGCTCCAATATCACAGTTAAGCTTGCGCCAGCCTTGAAGAAGCTATATCTGGCCACCCAAGTCCCATTATTCATCAGGGCTAAAGTTGTCCCCGTCGTCGGTGCCGACTCCGCTTTTAAGTACCTTGATCACAAGGTTAGCTTCCTGGGGACGGACCCGCCATCAGTGGACTCGCTCAGGGACGCCATGGGTCGCCTGTTGAAAGTGCCCCTCAAGCCCTACCAGCGTCTGAGGTTACTGCAGGATTACATCCTTCCCAAGTACCTGTTCTCATTGCAGAACCCGGGGGTGACGCGGGCCACACTAAATCGGGGGGATAAGGTCGTCCGAAAGACCGTCAAGGGCACATTGCATTTGCCCTCACAAACGCCCAATGCCATGTTGTACGCGGCCAAAAAGGCTGGGGCCTCGGTCTCTTCTGCTTGTCCGGCAGGATCCCTGATATCCTGCTGGGCCGGCTGGAGAGGCTGGGCTTACATGACGACCCCCAGCTAGCCGCCGTCCTGCGGTCCGACTACGTGGTCGGAGTTAGATCACGGTTGGCGGACATCATACGGTCCAGGACGCCAGAGGCGGGCACGCGTTAAACACTAAAACATCAAGTTGGTAAGTTAAAATAGTAAAAAGGTAAAAATAAAACGAACAGTGTATAGCGTACAAATGCGTGTATAAGGACGAACAACGTAAGGTGGACAACGAAAAGCAGTCGGCGCAGACATCGCGCGACAGGGCAGGCTGCACGGCATGTCAGGACCGGCCGCACGCGCACCAGGGGCACCCCACCCCCCTAGCGGGGCGCGGCCCCCGCCGCCCCGGCGTTCGCCGGGACTCACCACAGTTGACAGGGTCAGAGTGGTCGGTCGTCCCACACGGCGGCCCCGAAATGCAGGTGAATCATGCAGCCGCCCTTCAGCACGCACGAAACGAGGCTGAGGGCGACTGACGGGTACAGCCCCAAACTCCCCACCACACCGTCGTTGAGCGGGCACCAAGCGCCTCGAGCCCCCAAGATAATAGTTCTGACCGAGATCACGTCGCCAGGATAGTTAAGGGAGTCATAGTTACTCTCGCCGTTTACCCGCGCTTGATTGAATTTCTTCGCTTTGACATTCAGAGCACTGGGCAGAAATCACACCAAGCAATTAAGCAGTTACAGTGTGTTCGAACAGAATGAAGTAGTGAAGAATAATTAGCAGTACCAGTAGTTTTGATGATTAAGACAGTGTGTAATTGTGAGAATAAAACACTCGATAGGTAGTCTCCGAGCATTATTAACCTACCTGTGAGAAACATAAGTCGAAGTAGCCAATGACAAATTGAACCCGTTACAAATCTCCATATTAAAATTGAGAGAAATGAGGCTGTTTGAAGTGCTGGATAAAATCCAATATATACTAATTTATGGATTCTCTATAACTAATTTTTGTGGAATTCTCTTAAATTTAGAGCTAATTTAGGTTATAGTTGTTTTTTATAGTAGTTTTTAATTTTCTTAGTTATATTTTGCAATACCTACCTTTTAAAACAAATTGTCCATTAGCACTTTTTGTAAGCATATATTTAGGAGGCGAAACATCAGCAATTACTAGAATTGCGACGAACGGTTCAACGACGTCAAAAAGAAACAACGAAAGTGTCGTACAAACATAGACTAAACCGGATTAATAGTTTCCTAATTTCTACCTTAAACAAGCGTTAATTATTAATTCTGTACCTTTTTCAGTGATTTGAACAATGTGCGGGGCTATTAAAACCTAACAACTGAAAAACCGGTTTTTTCGGTACAACAGCGAAGGAGTGAACACTACCTGAGTATTGTTGTGCAAATCTTTAGGCATCGGCCCTAATTTTTATTGTTTTCTGTTATTTGGTGAGTCCATTTAACGCATCCAGTTATATATCAGTTTTTGTGGCTGGTAGTTTCCTCCTCTTGGCCCTCTAACCTCAACCATGGGGGACTCTTCGGGGGGCGAGGGCCCCCCGACGGTTAGTGCAGCACAAGAAAATGACAGTTTATCCAATGATTCTCAAAATCGTCCGTTGAACGCCATTATTTGTAACATTTTGCCACCGGATTGCAAAAAAACTGCTGAAGATATTTCCAGGCTCCAGTATTTTGATGTGCCCTCAGGTGAAGAGTTGTCAAAGTTATCGGCAGAGATCCAGATTATCAAGAATCAGTTCTAGCAAGACGCTGAAATCCTGCGGGAAGTTGCCAAAATCTCCGCAAACATAAGGACAGTAAATCGGAAAACAAAATATGAAATCACCGACCAGGGGCCTTTTATGGTGATTCTGGAGGGGATTACAATTAAGGTGGGGACTCTTCATCCTATGAACTTTGGGAAGTTACTTCAAGCGCAGAAAGTTCAAGGTATATTGAAAATTTCTAGAAAAGGAGCCAATAAAATCGGTTTGGAGTTTAACACCTCTGAGTCTGCAAATAAATTTTTATCTAATGAAACATATTCGACAGCTGGTGGGTATAATAAGTATATACCTCAAAGACTAGTCACTTGCCGAGGGTTGGTGAGGGACATTGGTGACTTAATTGATGAGGATGATTTTTACTCTGAGGCAGAAGCCAAGGTTAACATCGGAAGATCGCTAAAGCGCGTTAAGATTGTTAATGTTCGCAGACTAACTAAAAGGGTCAAATGCCCAGGTGTTCTGCCTGGCACTTTTGGTTTCAAGACAGTTCCATCTAATGATTATATAATAACATTTGACGGTAAAACTCTCCCAGAATCAATCAGTATCTATAAAAATGAGTGTTCAATCGAAAAATATGTTAGTCCTGTTGTCTTATGTATGAATTGTTGCAGGTTTGGTCATTGGAAAAACCAATGTAAAAGCAAGGGTAGATGTAGTTTCTGCTCTGGAGATCATCCAGTATTTCATTGTGAACTGAAAGAACAGTTTTATAAGAAGAAACCATGCCCGACAGACCACTTAAATCATGAAGGTAAATGCAGCCTGGGTAATTGCGAAATATCTCCAAAGCCAACTTGCATCCATTGTAAAGGCTCTCATCAGGCCACTGATAGATCATGTCCGGAAATGGACAGACAGAAGAAAATCAATGAGGCTATGGCATGGTACAACTTATCCTTTTTTGAAGCGGCCAAACTCTTTCCAAGAGGCCCCAAATCAAGTGAGTTTAATCGCTCTAATGAAAATTTCCCTCCTATTCATAACACGGTTGCCCCCGTCTCTCAGCCTTCCCCTAGATCTGCTTCTAAAACTTATTCTGTCATAGCAAAAAAGCGTAAGTCCCCCCAAATAGAATCAGGGTATGATAGGGACGCCCACAGGGATTGTCTCGTGCCGCCGTTGACTAGGCAGAAGTTGAATCACACTAGCAAAAGTCAATCTTCTCCCTCATATTTAAATGATTTATCATCAGAGTCCGAGATGGACACTGCTTCTCCAGGGGTTTCCTCCTCTGGTGAATTTTGGTATCGGTTTGAAAATTTAAAGAAAAAAGTCTTGTCCAATATACCCAGTAAAAGTGCTTACCATGAAATTGAGAGTCTTTTTGACTCCCTGCCTCCTCCCGGAGGATGCAGGTTTTAATTTATTAATGTTCCCAGATCGACAGTCAAATCTTTCTGTTAAAATTAGTAATCTCTCAATTATTCATTGGAACACTTGCGGTATTAGAAGTAATTGTGATAGTATTATTAGACTTATTCGTGACTTTGGTCCGGATATAGTCATGATTAATGAATCTTTTTTACTCCCATGGGAAGAGACATTTATATTTACCGATGCCTCTAAGGGACCAGATGATAGAGTTGGCTTTGGAGTATTTATTCCGTTTCTCAATGTTAGGGTCGGGCATGGGTTGAATAGCGCGTTTTGTATTTGCTCTGCAGAAATGGTAGCTATTAGTTACGCCCTAGATCTTATATTAGATTATAATATTAAACAGGCAGTAATTGTCTCCGATTCCAAAAGTGCCCTGCAGAGCTTCGGATGCAGTGCGGTTGAAGCTTCCAACAGCTACATTCTACTAGATATTAAAGCATAGATTGATATTTTAAAGCGCAGACTTGGGGGGAAAATCCGAAAAATTGACATTTAGAACTTCTGAGATTAGTCTCCTTCACTGGGGAAGATCCGAAAATCCTCGACATTTGGAACTTTAAAGTTTAGTCTCCTTCGCTGGAGAAGATCTGACAATCCTAGACATTTGGAACTTCAAAAATCAGTCTTCTTCGCCAGAGAAGATACGAAAATCCTCGACATTTAGAACTTCAAAATTCTGTCTCCTTCCTGGAGAAGATCCGAGAATCCTCGACGGTAGTCGGCAATGGGCGAATGATCCTGGTAGTCGTGCCCAACAGTTATCTGTGAAACGCATCATTGAATTGAATTGAACTGAAAAACCTTGATGGTCAGCATTAGGCCAATAATAATTGTATTTGTGGCCAATGTAAACGTTCGAAGAAGAAGATCATCTCTCATCTAACACGTTATTTATCTATGATATTGTTTATCATCTGTTTCCATTTAAATGGGTTATGTGCAGAAGTAGTTAATAAAAAATGATAGGAACTTACTATTTTGTTATTGTAGGACATAAAGACAATCCCTTATTTGAAATGGAATTTACCAACAGCAAGGATCCCAAAGTATATTTGATGTGATACCCATAAATCCATTTCTCTCCTACATTTTTTTAGAAAGAAGATCACCGACATTTGAGTCAGTTTATAGCTCATTCAGCTTTAGATTTAATAGACGAACATAAGTGGAAGACTCATAATATGTACTTGAAATCTGTAGACAAATTTAATCAGTGGTTTGTCTCTGCTTTCATTACTGCCAGCCTCATAAGGTTTGTGATTGTTCATGATAATCGAAATGATGATGGTATTAAGAATTTTTTTAATGATGTCTACGAGGCTTACATTAAACATTCCATGAACCCCTTCTATGAGGAAGACACCCTAATTAAATCAGCTGCATTTGAGAAAAGAGTGCAGTTGTATGGAAAGAAATATCTCTCAAACTGAGTGATCTGATAATGTATGTTTGTTTCTGTGAAATTCATTTTGTTAGATTGAATATAATTTTGCAAACTTTTTTTTTATTCTTAAGTCTTGGAAAATAAAATATTGTCTATCAAAATATTAGGCTACAATGACAAATATACTTATTGTAAATATCAAATGAAGTTTATGCTATATATTATTTACAGTTCATAATAAATTATAACTCTTGACCTAGCAAGGATAACTGTTGCAAAAACTGATTTGCATTGCACAAAGATGTAGCTCCATAAGTTATTTTCTTTCCATTGCCAGCATTGCTTTTTGCCTAAAAATTTATCTTAATTCAAAGGTCCAGCAAATAAAAAAATATGCTATACCACTGCATAGTCAATTAAATTTTGATATTCAATGTAATTCCCTCCACCGACTATGAAAACAACAGCTTCTTGAAAAGGTGCTCGGTTTTTAGGAATTTCTGTCAGTTTTAATTGTTTTGGATCTAAATAGTGATACTCTTCTATTGCTGAACTGTTGCGGAATTCCATTAAATTATCCACAATTTTTGTTACAGGAAGATTCTACAAATTAGGATTTAATTCAGAATTCATAAAAATTCGGGAATATTCTTCATACATGTTTTTTAACTACCAAATTTTTCACACCTTCCATGACAAAATTTGAACCTTGTGAGACCAATTTAGAGAACATATTTACTGTCTTTGTTCCTGCACCTTCGTATTGATTTAAAGATGTACTGGCCATTCTTGTAAAACTTCTGAAAAAGATTTCACAATACAGATTATTTAGAATAATTCAAAATATCAATTTGATTACTTATAACCAAAATATAAATATATAAATTAATATCCAAAGAGGTTTCATAATAAAAAAATCCTATTGAAATACAGTCAACATAAACAATCAACCCATTGCCTTCCCACTCTCTTGGTTAAGTATATATATAGAGAGGGATTAGCTAGTTATGATTCAAATCTCTGGCACAACAAAAAGTAGTAAATTGGAAATCATTTAGAATTTAATGTGTATATTGGCTCTGAAAGCATTAAGAATATTTTGGATTTCTTACTTCCACCTCTTCATGTAATTTAAGGCTGACAAGTTGCAGCCGGCTTCTTTCAATGCACCCTCAAACTTCTTAAGATCTAAGTCAGCTATATTTGTGGCGCAGATGTAGTAAATCAAGAATAATCTCATTTTATCATCTACTGTGCCTGCGCCAGTGTCAGAAATGATATCCAGAAGTGGCTTTTCAAGTTGTTGCATTTTGCTCATTATCTTCTCCTCCAACTCAAAGAATGTATCCAATTTTCTGGATTTGATATGGTTTAAAATGGCTAAAATTAAAAATTGTACAATTATATCATCTGTCCCAACTTTTTCATTTTACTTGTTGCTATGGAGGTATGCATATCAATTAACCGTTTTTGCTCCAAAAGTTGTGGCAAAGAATTAACTGCTGATGTAATTTTTGCTGTATTATCAGTGACCAAAGAAACAGCCAATTCATTTTCATTATTAATACCCATGGAAGATTTTAATTTCTTAACTTCTTCTTCAGAAGATCTATATCTTTCCAGTTCTTCTTGAATTGCTTCGGCAACGGTGGGAAATGGTGAACCTTTATGATCATTCCAGAACTTGTCTTTTGGATTGAGTTCACAAGACTTTTGCTGCAGCCTAGAAGCTGAAGATGGGGATTCCTGAATCACCACACGATTTAATGAAAGATCCAATACATCATGAGCTAAGGCTTGATAGGTCCATGTATGGTGTAGTGATGTTGCCATATCCACATTTCGGTCAAGAATTATTAACAAAGGCCTTTGAAAATTAAAATTGCCTGCTTGAACATCAGCCGAAAATAGATTATTTCTGGCATCAAACAGGTTTTCCCTTAACTTTTTGTCCAGTTTCTTTGCTACCATTTCAGCAGCATTACCCTTGGGACTTCGGATTATCGGCACCATACCTTATTAAAAGTAAAATATTTATTATCAGAAAAATACAAAACAGAAAAATAATTGTTATTAACAGTCATTTTTACCTAAAGTAACAAATACCGAAAACAAACAGGCCACTATGTCATCCATTATGAAGTCCATTTCTGTGTCTCTAATGTCACCCCTATTTATTGCTAAAAAGTAGCCCTCTTGAAACTTAATTTTAAAGCTATTAATTTATTACCATAGTAGGAAAGTGAGTTGCTATTTTGATGCCTTAAAACAAACATTTCGTCTTCCAATGAAATGAAATTAACATATTGATCATAGACCTGAAAGCATTCACAAACTGCAGACTTTCTAGTATAATTATTGTAATACATTACTTTGTGTATATTTGCAACACAATTCGCTTCAATAGCTGCTGATGCTAAATCTTCTAGTTTCTGTCTTGAAATTGGAGAAATAAAATTAAGATGATAAATATCATACAATGCTTTTTGAAAATCCTGTTTGATTCTGCCCAAATTTTCCTCTGTAGGAGAGCAGAAGTATATCGCAGGTACTTCTGGGATTGAATCTCGATCTGAATGTAACTGCCTATAAGTTTTTACATTTTATAAGCGTGGATTTGATTAATTTTATACATTTACAGATAAAGAGTTACTCCCTGTTCTCGGAGTTCCTTTACAGAAATTATAGGTGATATGATATCCTGCCCAACTTTGTCATATATGAGAATCTTCCATATAGGTTCCATTCCTAATCTCTCATGTGGTTGATTCAAGTTCAACATTTGCTTGATGGCATCTAAAACAATAATTTTTACGAAAAATCATTTACGGAAAAAATGAATTGGATATGTACTTGTTTGCCTTAGTCTAAGAGACGACATAATTACATTTATCCTCTCGTTTTTCTGCAAAACATAAATAATATATCAAAGATGTTTTGGAGTTCAAAATTTGTTCAACGTCACTTGACACAGAAAAGAAAGGTTAAATTAGAATTTGACATCCAATTTTTTAAAGTCCAAATGCAAAGAGGGTATCATCTATCAGTACAGTTACAACGGTCATTATTACCTCCAGTTTAACGCGAACAGTGACGTAACTCATCCTCTACAAAATGTTTAGCCTTTTGATTCTGTTGTTTTGACTTTTAATGTAATACATTTGTCTCGAACAATAAACTTCTATTACCAAATAAGGTAACTAAGACCAAATCTTGGGATTGAACGATGTAGTCTGTAACATTTGTGGTCGATCACAACCTGAGGAAGTAAATGTCCACAGTTTAGCAGTCGAGGAGGCAAATGAAAACATAAATTCATTAAAAATACAAAAATAAACCGAAATGTAAATTGTTTATTGTTTTTATATGTTTAATTTTATAGACTTTTTTAAACTAAAGTCAATACAATACAATTTCATTGCATTTCATCAATAAGCCTATATACGCATATACATCGTTAATGCATAATGATTGAACTGAACAGTGTTTACAAAATTCAACGCAACTTTAAACATGGAAAAATCGCAATCATTCAATGATTTTTGCGTTTCAAATGGGGTTTTCAAGCAAAGTTTTAAATTTTCCGCCATTCTAGTGACATATGTTTCCGGTTTAATTCGCCAATTAGAAAACGTTTGGGAAGACCAGACGTTTCTTTCCCTAATATTCACGTATTGTGTCGGCTTTTCAATGGAGTGGAGATTTTTGTCGTTATCGGTTTATTCGTAGCAGAATTGGTGTTTTTTATATACTTTAAGACATAATAACACCCGATATATTACTCTTTTAGTCGGACGTACGTCTCCGGGGTGGTAAAATAGCACAAATTGAGGTAAAAATGCCTTCTGCGGCCAATGTCAAAATTGACAAGCAGATCTCTCCCGAAAACGCTCTTGCTGAACCTTCGGGAACGAATAATTCTAATTTAACCCCGCTTAAGCAGGGTATTACTATTATAGAGCATAAAATTAGGAATCTGGAAAAGCGAAAGGTAAAGTTTGAAACTTTTGTTAACTACGTGGTTAAAGGTATTTCTGGAGATCTACTTTTTATATTGTCGGCGAGGCTTGTAACCGCTACTACTTTTTTCTGGCGTTTTGCTTGTCTTGTGTTACTGTGTATATTATTAGTTTATACAATTTATTTTATCATATAATACAGAAATCGGAAGTAATTTATAATCATAATTAATATAAACCAATAAATGTAATTATTAATAATTAAAGTATTGAAATGCTAATCATGGACTAGAGCTTCTTATTTGTTGATATTGTTTGAAATAAATATTTTTCAGATATTATTTAAATCAGTTGATATGAACCATTTGTTTTTGGATCTCTTATAAATAGCTTTCCTTCTACTTATTAACTTAGAGAACAATTGCCAACAAAATAATAATTAAACTCGCGTGTGGAGGTATGGGATCGAAAACAATAAAACACGGTCCTAAGAAACATCGGGATGCAAAATTAAGAAATATAGGTATACCATATCTTAAAGCGCCAAGTATTGTCATTTGTTTTAAATCTTCATGCAAATATGGAAAGTAATTTTTCATCTTAAAAAAAAACAAATTGACTTGAAGCAGATGTACAAGTATGATTGGACAGATAAATCAAAACCAGACATTAAATTAGACTCTAAGTTGGTGGAAGATATGAATCAAACTAAATGCGCTTGATGCGTTTAATGGATTGTAATTTCTCTTTTCTATTCAATTGTTTACACATTTGCCATAATCAATTGTCATAACCAATTCAGTTTATGAGGACATATCCACAAAATGAAATAAATTTAAACAATTCTTGAGAAAAAGTTGGGATAAGTAATACTGATGTGTGTATGTAAATTTTAAGGCGTGAACAAAAATCGTTTTACAATCCTTTGTGTGTTCATTTTTCAGTCGAAACTCGAATCATATAGGGATTTGCAAAATGCGGGTAAAGAACTGAATTCGGATCAAAAGACTGCCCTAGCGAAAATAAACGAGGTTATACAGACTCTGGATTTTGCCAGGGATTTACACAAACAGTTCCTAGGGATTGCCTTATCTGCTGAGAAAGATGCTAAGAAACAAGCGAAACGGGAGGAAGCACAAAAGAAGCAAACCGAGTTGGCAAGGCTAAGGGAAATTCTATTGGTGCAAGACGCTTTAAACCAGATGGGTAACGAAAATGTGAGAGATGACTTTTTGAATGCTAGGAACGGAGCTGCTCAATTGAGTGAACCTGACTTAAAGTAAGGATATTTTTGTCCAATCAGTATAAATATTACTCCACGATTACATTATTCCTTAGATTGTTAGATGATTTGTACCCAGCTGTTACTCCAAAACATGAAGCTGGCAATCCCACAGTATTTACTAATGAAGTTCAAGCTGCTGCTGAACACTTGTTGGCCGTGGTAGATGGAAAACCAAAAGAAGTATTTGGTGGCACTTATAGCCAAGTGAAGGAGATTTTGGGCAAGATTCATGAGAGTGGATATTTTGACCAGGCAGAGGTAGAAATCTTTTAGTGAATGTTTTTAAATTTTCTTTAAGGCCAGTGTCATTTAATTTTGATAAAATTTTAATTGTAAGGCTGTAGAAGTAGCTGTCGAACGAGAAACTATCGAAGTCGTGCAGGAAACGATTATCGACACCCAGGAAGTTATCCCTCCCGAAGTCACCCAAGACGCCATTGCTACACCCATTGAAACAATCACAATTGAAGCCACCAATCATCCCGCGTTACATGGTCAGCAACCATTAGTTGGGGAGGGTCTCCTATCTCAGCAGGCGCCCGTTACAGTGGAACCTAATGTGCCCGTCATCCCGCAAATTCCCGCACAAGAAATTTTCTACCAACAAGCCCCGCCGACTCTCCCGCAATCTGCTCAACCATTGAGACCCATCACAGAGATGTTAGGCACGGGTAGCTTTTTTTTCTTGCAAGTGAGTTTTGGTTATATTTTATTGCTTCTTAGACTTTTAAGAAAAATGAAAAACTTGATAAAGGAAATTTTGATAAGTAAACATTATTTTTAGAATTTGTATGTTTCTTTAGCTTATGTAAATCTTGTTATTTTCCTTGCTCTACTGTATTTTTCTTAAGTTAGAATTTTAATGGTTAGAAGTTTGTAGTTTAGAAGTACGTATTTTTTAGGAATCAGAAATTGACACCCCTGATCAGATCCCCTCTCAGACATTCACAAACCAATCGTTTGTGGTACAGCCCCCACCGCCGATACCGATGCCGCCTCATTTTCAGCCCCCATCTCAACCACTGCCCCCGACAAATTTACCCACCACAATGAACCACCAGCCGGTACAAGTGAGCGGAGCTCCTCCCACTGATGACACGTCAATTATTAAACCATTAGCGCAGCCCATTGACGATTTGCAAAAGCATTCCTCGACCGGACCAGGCGTCACGAATCAACCGCAACCCTTTTACAATAATGGCTACGGAAATAGATCCAAGCCCCAGCAGCAATCGAGAAATAACGGTATCGGGGGAACACACCCCAGACCTCAAACGACAAGGCACTAAATTACACCACAATTGTGTACTCTGCTAAGGGCTGTAATATTTAATTTTTTTTTTCCTGCTGCACTTTTAATTTCTTCAAACAACTCAGCATTATGCAATTATTTTTGGCACTCCTTCCTAATAATAGAAGAATATTTTTTATTTTACTTGGAAGTCCCAGTGCCCTTTAACATCATTTGTGTCACTAATAAATCGAATACTTAAAATTAGCAAAAAACATTGCAGTTTTGGCTTTAACTGCAGGCCGTTTGAGTTACGATAAATTACATTATCTTTATTGACATGTTTAATTCAAAAGTTGCTGAATACATTTTTAAGCCAACAAAAATGGACGCAAAAGTTATGGGAGTGTGATTTAAAAATAGGTTAATTTTTAAAAAATCATAAAAGCCTTTTAGTGATAATTCGATTCAGTAAGTACATTTTTTTACCTTTTCAGTATGATTTAAATTGTTTTAAAGAAACGCGAATAAGGCATGTAAAAATATTATGGTTTACTGGATAAACAATGAGAGGAATAAATAATTAAAAATTACATTATTGTTTTAGTGGGAGTAACTAAAAGCTCCATATATACCCAAAAGAAGTTTGAGGACAGCTTGGCAGGCAACAATATGTATAGTCACATTCTTAACGCACGTGAATGCCGTTGCCATATTTAAAATGTACTAATAATATTATTGCGGCGTGTAGCAAGTTTGCTGGTGATCAATTAATAATGGACTGTATTTTCGTAATCAACCGACTGCATATCATAACCAAAGTCTTGCTCTTCTGTCTTCTCGAATATTGTTGGGGGCTCTCAGACGATAGAGATAGATTTTGAAAAAGTGGGGGTGTGCTGATATCTGGGATTTTGTAAGCCTTTCAGATTTAAAGACTAAATAACAAACTTGTCTGAACATTATCGCCCCCATCCCCCCCAAAAAAAAAAACCCTTAGGTTTTTAAAAAGTATTAAATGCTTTATTCGTAAATCAAAGTAATTTAATTTCAAATTTAATCAATAAAATTTAAACCTGCAACAAAATGTCGAACTTGCATAGCTATATCGTGAAAAGAGCGTCAAGTGCATTTTTTGACTTACATTCTTGGAGTAGACGTTACAACTGTTTTATGCATGTAAAATAATTGGATAGGCCATTTTAGAAATTGAGGATAAAAGGATAATATAATAACACAAGGATATAACAAAAATAAATGGATTTTATGGAGCTCACCTTTAATATAATACATTTATTTACCTAAGCTAAAAAGACAACAAAAAATATGAAAAAGAATATTAAAACTCCGAAAATCTTTATCATAAGCCACCTGTTTGAGGAAACAGAACGAAAATATCTCAGAATTTCATTATGAGCCGCCTCTATGTTGATTTCAGCATCTTGAACATTTGTATCTATTCTTTCAACCTATAAACAAATATAGCGATTAAACGTGAACTGTGGCACTGCCAAGAAATAAGGTCAGGGGCTAGTCTACTTATGTCCAAATTTAAATTGCCAATTGAAATGTCTTATTGTCCAAATAATGGAGAAGGCATTAATCCATAGGGAAGACTCAATAATTCATTAATTAATGATGGTTCAGGAAAATTTTACTGTTTTGGCAATATCGCATTGGGCCAAAGGGATGATGGTAAAATGTTAAGTAGTCTCGAATAGTACATTAAGGTAGGAGCGTGATTTAGTTGAAGTACTTGAAATAGCGCAAGTGATATAAAGACAAGTCACCCACTAATGCTCTACTCGTTTTCTTTAAAATTAATTGAACTAATATAAATAATTGGTTATGTGACATGGATGTGAAAAAGCAAAAATTTAATGTACAAAATGGGTCACATAAACATCGCAAGATGTTGAATTTTTGAATAAACTTTTTGAAACAATATTTTGTAAAAACAAGAATGAAAACTCTTGAATTTTACTAACAGAATGCAGCTACCAGGAGATTAAATGTTTTAGAATTTCCTTACCATTAAGCAAACTTTAAATATAACATAAATGTAAATTAAACATAAATAACTGGATATTTGTTTGTTCCATTTGGTTTGTAAATTGTTACTAAGCTCTATTGTACATCAATGTCTTGTTATTAATAACTGAACCAAATTTTTGACCAGCATTAAATAAGTTTTCGGATGGAAATTAGCATATGGATTTATTTTGAGAATACTTAGGCTCTCACCATTTCTTCCTGTTCCTTAACCATATGAGCCAGCTGCTGGAAGATGCCACCCAGTTCCACAATGGTAGATTCGATATTCTGCATGGTTTCAGCCCTGCTTTGTAAATAGTCATCTGTTTGATCATACATCAGTGCTTGCATATGTTGCTGTGGCTGCTGCGATGTAGAAGCTGATCCAAAATCTATGCTGACATGATCTTCCTCTTGAAATAATATACTAGCTAAAAATGCTGTTGATAACACATCATTGTTAGTTAAAACCTTGATACTAACATTGGCCTACATTTGCTGCTGGAGGTGGCATGCTCCCCTGACTAAATTGATCCCTTCGCCTTTTTTGGTGTTTTAAGTTTTCTGTTCTTACTTCTAGAACTTGCTTAAAATCTGTAGACATAGTTGCTAATTTTGACTGCAGGGCCAATACAATATTGCTTGAATGGGACTGCAAATGTTTGCCATTGGAGAGATTTTTCTGACTTCTTGAGAGATTTTGTAACTGAGCTATTTGCTGGTTTAAACTATTTAGATCATTTTTGATTATATAGGTCAATTCTTGGATTTCCGCTGTGCGATCATCGAAAAGGGATTTCCTTTTTGCCACTGAAATACAAAAACAATAGTTGAATAATTAGCTGATTCAAATAAAATTGAAGATTTGGATTTCATTTCATTTCATATTGGTTTGAGAAAGTTACCAAACAAAAGTGATACATACATAATGTAAGCTTCTCCAACTTAGCATAAGTACTGGCAATATTTTTTCCAACATTTTTTGCAATTAACATAAAATCCGAATGATTCTGAATAACTTTGGATTTTCTAGTGTCGCTAGTAGCATTAGCTCTAGCAAAATTGCGACCCTGTAAAGTTTGTATTGTGTTCACAAATTCACTGGTTCTGTCTCTAGCAGTCATGACAGGATCTGGATCGTTGTACTCTCTGCTGTGATCATCTAAATAAAAATCCTCACCAACATTATTTGGATAAGACGAATTTATTTGGCTAAATTTATTGTGTGTCCAGGTCTCCTCTTTATTCAGGAGTGCCTGGTTTTCGTTTTCGGATGCTGTTCGACGTCTTCTAGGTAGCATTGCATACTTGGACTATGGTACCTTGTTGAATATTTGTAATTAACTTATATTCTTGAAATTGTTACTATTGACAATGACACAGGACTACGAATAAAGAATTTAGTTTCTGATACGGTATAACACCGAGCCAAATATCACTTTTCTAACATATGCCCTCGATTTTGCAAAATTTTCAAATAGAAAGCACCAAATAAACACCGTTTGTCGTAGACACAAACAGAGACACGTCACTATGACACTACACCACCGAGTGTCATCCAGAGATCTAGTGCGGTGCGTATACCGAGTTCATAAAGTTTTTTTGTTGGTTCATAAATCAAGGGCACTCGCTCATTGCCGGCTACTTCTAGAAAACTATTTTTGTTTTTATATTTGATATATAATGTGCAATCCCTCATAAGAAATAATGGTCGGTAAATTAGGATCCACCACATTAAAACATGGAAAAAAATTATTGAACGTGTTTAGTTTCAATATTCAGTAGATTGGGAGATTGTTTATATTTTTGACCAAACAAGAGGAAATTAAAAATATACATTGGATGATAATTGGAACTGCTGCAGTTTAGGAATATCTTGAACGAAACTTTTATTCAGATTTGAATTTAAGGAAAAAAAAGCAGTAAAATCAAGGGACGAGCCGTAGTCAGTTTTTAGTGGCTATTTTTTTTTTACTGTAAATGCTTTCATTTTTTATGTATCCAATAACAAATTAGTTATTATTTTTTAACATTTACATGCAGTTTCAATTTAGAAAGCAACACATGAAGTCAAATTGGTTATTTTTTTAGAGGCGATTTTTGCGGAAACTGTATTAGGTATTAGAACAAGGTTCATACAAGTTGTATGAATCGCAAGGCCTTGCATTACTACTAATGATACACTTGAAGTTAAAATGGTTAAAGAATTATTTCGTGAACATCACAACCTCATATGCCACAGAATTTATGAATTAGAAACATATTTCTTATTTCAAGCAAACTTTATTGCATACATAAATATCACTATTGTATAATAACATGTAAAAAATGTAGATGTATCAATATGAAAACTGGAAGACTTGAGATTGGTTGTTAAGGCACTTTAAATTGCATCCAACTTATTCTTCTAACTTACATTTTGCACTTTTGTCTGATATTGCATACATTTTTGATAACAAAGTAAAGATACAAATTTAATTTGAAAACAAGACTTTAAAAATCCAGCAAATCAAAAAGCAGTACAAAATATTCGTTTAAAAAGAATCAAATCGCTTAAGACTCTAGTGAAACTTATAAAAAATATATACTTGGCTCACATTTAGGAAAATACAAACAGCACTATATAAAAATCACGTGTTGAAATTGATTTGTCTGGCTTTGTTCCTTGGACGCATGAAGCATAACATATACACACAAGTAAGAATTTTTGTCCCGTTTTGCAATGGTCTGTAATAAAAATGAATTTTATAAAACGATAATAACCGCCGCGTTTTTAAATTTCAAATGTACTTTATCCTTTAAAAATTGCTATTGGAAATTATCAACACACTGGTAATCATTACTGTGTGACATAAAATGTCAATATAGGAGCTGGCTATCACAAAAATAAAACTCGACAATAACTACACCCTACCAAGGTCTCCATGGTCTTTCGTCGGATGATTCTTCGCTTCTATCTCGTTTCCTGATTACTAATGATAGAGGTCTTTCCTGTGTCGAACAAAACATTGAAACCGTAGGCTCTGGGCTTGAGATCGGACTGTAACTTGAGTCCGCCGAGATGCTAGATGGCGTTCTCTCTGATACTATAGGTACCAAAAGTGGTACTGGAGATGGCAGCACTTGGGCATTTTGAGTACTGGTTGGTAGTACAAAGGCAATGTCGCCGTTTGCAAGTCTCGTCGGAACTAATTGAACACCAGAACTGTTACTAAATATTATACCGCTATGAGGTACTTGTTCGGTATTTCTTTGTTGGGAATTTGGTAGTATATGAACCTATAAATATGATGCACGCTAACATTAAAAAAAAAGAGAAAAAAAAGCAACTCATGATTTACCTGCACTTTTGGAACTTCTTGAGGTTTAGAAGTTTGATTTAAACAGTGAGATAAATGTTGCAACAGCTTCTTTTTAACAATTGGATCCAATCCGGGAAAACGTCCCACTTCAGTAGCACAATCCCTAAAGCCAGCACTAAATTTGTTGATTGCCGTGGAATCCACAGCAGATACGGGATGTTGAAAACGTTGAATATTTTGAAGATGTTTAACTGTCATTTCGAGAATATCGGCTTTTTCTAGTTTCGAATGGCGTGCTGGCTAACAAAAAAATTAACAGCTATACCACAATATAGGTAACAAAACATCATAGAGTTTCATAAACAAGGAGGTTTACGCACTTCAAGTGGAGCGATAATTCATGTATGTAACTTACATCTTTCTTTAACGCATCCAAAATAAGCGTCTTCAGTTCATTAAGACAATTATTTATCCTAGCCCGTCTTCTTTTCTCCATTATAGGTTTATTGCTCTGTAATTAAAATACATAATGCAGTACAAAAGAAAAGTCGTATTTATAATATAAAATAAAAATTAATCCGTGATAAACCATGTTTTCCATAACTATAGGCATATTCCAAGCCCTGCTATATAAAATCATATATTTAGAAGCCTCGTCTATGCCAAAAATATAATAGTATATTATGCAACAAGTGCGGTAAACGGCATTTGACTCGCGAGTTCATTTGACACGAGCGGAGCGAGTGTTTAATAAGCGAGCGAGTTAAAAAGTTTTTCTACTCCCGTCTGTAAAATACCTAATTACGCACCGATCTAGCGTGCGGGAAGCGTCGCTTTACCACGGCAGTTTCGTTTCCCACGAATCCGAGCCACTTCGGACATTTCCGGGATTTTACCGCACGGGTTTGGGAGCAATCGGATGTTTTCGGGGATATTTCCCACGATTTGAATTTTGACGTTTGTCAATTGTGACATTCATGTCAGTGAATTTATTCGTGTTTTGCGAAAATGTACCCAAAAACTAACGGTCGTAGAAATAGTATAGTGTGCAACACGTTCGGTAAACTTTTTGACTCACTCGTTTATTAAACACTCGCTCCGCTCATGTCAAATAAACTCGTGAGTCAAATGCCGTTTACCGCACTTGTTGCATAATATACTATTACCGAACGTGTTGCATACTATACTTTTTCTATGACCGTTAGTTTTTGGGTACATTTTCTCAAAACAACACTGTCAGAATTGACAAACGTCAAAATTCAGAGCGTGCGAAATATGTTCGAAAACATCCGATTTCCAAATCCATGCGGTAAAATCCCGAAAACCCGTATTCTTGGGAAACGAAACTGATGTGGTAAAGTGACGCCTGATGTGGTAAAGTGACGCTTCCCGCACGCTAAATCGGTGTGTAATTAGGTATTTTACAAACGGGAGTAGAAAAAAGCTTTTATCACACTTCGTAAAGTTAGGTCTTAATTATTTTATAAGTGGGATTTATTTAATATTAACATTAATAAGTCACACATAAAAAAAACGCATAAAAGCATTGAATTTTCAATACAACATGAAAGTAAAAGACGACTCAACAAGTCAGACGCTTTGTGCAAATTACCGACTGTGTGTTTTTTAAAGAGAAAAAGTCAGAAAAGTCTTCGTTAATTTAATTAACAATTGAACAGCGTACAAGTTTTAAAAAAATTGAAAAAGAAAATCGCGAATGTAATAATTTATGTAATATAAACTCTAATTAGATAATTATTTGCAATGTGGCATAAATTTGTATCGAGACATTTTTGGCAATTGGTGACAACCCTAGCAAGTGTATTTCTGTTAACGTTTACCAATGGGTGCAAATCGCTTTATCTCAAGGTTTCTATAATCTCGGGATCAAAAAATTCATAGACCTAATTTTTTGTGTGACCCCGGAGGAAGAAAGCCAAGGGCAGCAAGGTCAGGGATCATTTAATGAAAAAAGGTGACAAATACTTATAAAATAATTAAGACCCAACTTTGCGAATTACGATTAAAAAAATGTGTGCACTTGTGAGACATCACTGAGCTGGAAATTTTACTTTATTTCCAAAAATTGAAAAATCCAATATGGCGACCATAAGAAAAATGCAAGTTAAAGCGGGTTGCGTGATAACAAATGACGCTTGAGGCATGTCATACACGCTATCTTATTCGCCTTAAAAAAGTTTAAAAAATCTCATTTTGACAGCTGTCAATTTAACTGTTTTCGATTTACTGGCGAAAAATCAAATCCACCATTTTAGATTTTTCGCCGATATTTCCTAAACGAATTGACCTGTAGTAAATCTAATATCGGTTATAACATACACAAAGCTTCTTCTAAAATTTTCCCCATTTAAGCTTTGATATAGGTATAACAGAAGCTGAGATCCCCAGTATAGTGAAGCGAATCTGGGACACATTGTACATATATGCGGTGGTCCAAATCAGGATGTCATGTGGATATTGGAAACCACAAGGGTTACGAAATATTTAAATTACAAAAAAAAAATGCAAAATGTAAAGGTTAATACCGTGCTGTTAAAAAACTAAAAAATGTCCATCACTTTCCGAAGATACCCCAAAAAAACCGAAATTTGTCAATTTCGTTTTTGTTTTATTCTGGTATAACTTAAAGTGATATAAAAAAATAAAGGTCACTTTCTCGTTGATACTTTTTAAGTTCTAAAAGTTAGCTTGAGATCTTTGATAATCCACAGATCTAAACTAAACTAACCAACCATATTTCAAAAAAGGACATAGATATGGCGTAAATTACCCTGTATCGATACTTTGGATTTTACGCTTTTGCGACTAGATATAATTTACGGTAAATTGTTGATTAGTCAAGAAAGTAACGAGTATTTCTGAAGCGGACTTTGCGAAACGTTCAGCACGGAATTATCAGAATGGTAAATAACGTACAAGGTTTTGCGGCCTACGCGTGGGAAAAGCTGTTGCGTCAAAGCGTGGCAGCCCCGTGCCCGACTTGGCACCGAGCCGGCGGCGGCGGTGGCCATTTCGCGGCGTTCTATTGTTTTAAATTTGGATTCAGACGTCGCCTCTGCTCAAGTGTCGCGACTCGATCGAGCAGATAATTTTGGCGTAAAAATTGGTACCGTACAATATTAGTTTATCGTCTAGAAACACGGACGATATTCTGACATATTTATTTTTTAAACAAATTGTTTATTCTGGTGGATCGATTTTTAATTCAGAAAATTGGCAAAACAATCGAATGAAAAACTAGTAAACAAACCTGGAAAAAAAGTACAAGTAACATATCGGTATTTGGTGCACAACAACCTCATTTTTCAAAATCAAAATCCAGATTGACAGATATTTTATGCCCCTTGGAAATAACTTATATTGTGTTTACCGAAAGAAAAAATGAAGCAGTAACATTTAACTTGCGTAGTATAAAAAGGCGAAAACGGAAGAAAAACAAATTACTGCTAACGGAAGGAATGAAATAAATAGAAAGGCCAAATACTTGAATTATATCTGGAAGTTATAAAAAGCAAACTTACTCTCCGGTTGTCACTGGCTCTCTTAGCTCCAGAGCTATTGCAAATTTCATTTGATTTCATTTCTCCGTTACTTGAAGTAACCGGAGTGAGAGGTATAGAAGCTTGCTGCATCGTCCCCGCAGTTAATGTAGTTGTTACCATTTTACTAATTAATGCACTTCACTAGATTTATATTTTTAACCAAACCTCTTAAGCAGGTATTATTATTACTTCACTCGGTAAGATTCGTAAAATACGAAACTACAGCAAGATATTTTTAAATTTTGAAGATTTAATAGATACTAACAAGGCCAAAATCACGTAGTAAACGAGAGGGCCCCTAAAAAGGATTACCATATCCACATCGCACGATTAGTGACGGAAGAATGAGTTGGTCGCGTGGAGGCAACAGTGATTGAGGCAGAGCGGTTAGTGGAAATTGCGGTGTAGCCAAACTTTGTACAAATTTATGAGTGATAAATTTTGTTTGAGCTTTAAAATCCCGCCAAAATATATAACAGTCAATAGTCATATTCGAAAGTTTTTCATTATTCCGCTAAAATTTAAATATCATTACTAAAATATGAAATCGTGAGGTCAGGGACTCTAAAACTTCGACAATTTTTAGTTTGAGTTTTTTATACGACCATTAGTTTTTGAATAGATTTTTGCAAGACAGCACAAACTAAATACATTCACTGAGTAACGTATGACATAACCATCAGAGACAAACGTCAAAAAAAAATCTATCGAAAACCACCGAGAACTCTCACACTCATGACTAAAGTATCGGAAATGCTCGAAGTGGCTCGCGACAGTGTTCAATGAAGTTAACGTCTAAAAGTTTGTTTATAATTGGATATTTTAGAGTAGCGTTGACGTTCCTTAAATAAAAAATAAATGTTTAAATTTAGTAAAAAAGTAAGTAAAACCGTTCAGTAAAAGTTCCAATGGCTCTTGGATAATATTGGTGATCAATGTTCACCAGTAATAAATGTAGGTGAACTACATTTGGGCAATCGAATTTTGGCTTCCTGAGTATTACCATGGAAGAGTTTTTATTTTCGGTCATAAATCTAGCGGTATTATTTTAAAATCGCACACGAAGTGGCAACGCCACCTCGGCTCCTTTGTCGCAGCATCCGACACGGTGCACAATCACCAAGCGGTGGGTGGAGGAGGGAAGGCAGAAAAACGGGCGGTTGCTGAGACGGAAAGATCGGCACGTTCCCAGGCTCGATCGGCCGTTTCCGGTAACCGTCGACCTCGCGACGACCATAATGTATCGAAGCTACCTGTTAAGTCGGATTTTGACACAATGCTGCCATGTTTACACAAATAGGGGAGCCGAACATTAACAATGATAAGAAGGGACACTTCGTTTTCCCAACTGGTCTGGCTTAGATGAAACAGTTCAAGATGACGGGTCGTAAAATCCAGATTCCATATGTTTTAGCTGCTTTTACGAGGGTTTTTATATATTATATATATGATAGACGTACTTCGCTTTGTCCAAAATAAATCAACTTACAATCGAAGCAATGTCGCTTTCTATCTCGCATATACTGACTTTTGTTATGCGCCTCAACTAATACCATCAGGGTTGAATTTAGAGAAGAGAATTAAATTACTTCTTCATGTAGTGATTTTTCAAAGAAACTTCCACAGGCTATTGTAAAGCTTTTTACAAAACTTCTGGATTCCTCCTGCGTCGGTTTTTGTTGAGTCGAAGTTGCTAACGTTTCACCTATCATCATGTTGGCTTCTTCGGAGCTTGACTGAAACTGGCTCGCATTTTACTCTGTACCTGTTTATATATTGTTTGAGGGGAGCGTAGCTAAATAAGGGGCATAGGCTACTTATAGATTTCTATAGACTTTCGGATTTTTCGTTGGTATTGGAATTGATTACACGCAAGAATTTTAGTTTTATCGAATAAAATTTTATGTCCGGTAACGTGAATGTGTTCGGCAAATGCTGATGAGTTTATTTATCTTAGTCTTAAAGCTCTTTCATGTTCTTTGAGCCTAGTTGATATTTTTCGTCCGGTCTCTCCAATGTAGTTTTTGCCACATATACATATCTAAACTCCTGGCATCTCAAATGGAATTTTGTCTTTGACGGATCCAAGATGTTGAGAGATTTTTGGACCAGTGGTAAATCTGGTTTTGACGTTATATTAGAATTTTTGATATGTGGTCAGTGATGTTTTGAATTTAAGGAAGGATAAGTGAGCCAAGGTTGTGGTGAAGTGTATTTTGTGATGGGACGCTTAATATCTTTAATGTGGAAATTATTAGAGAGAAGAGCAGAGGTGTTTTAATTCTTGGTTTAGTGACTCGGGCTGAGATAGTTTTACGGCTTTGTAAACAAAATAGTTGATAACCGATGATTTAAAAATTTAAAAAAGTAATATGCGAGCCAGTTTCAGTCAAGTTCGCCAACAGGATGATTGGCGAAACGTTAGCAAGTTCGACTCAACAAAAACCGACGCAGGAGGAGTCCAGAAGTTTTGTAAAAAGTTCATGTAGTGTTGTTTATAAATTTTTACAGCTAACCAAAACTAACCATAATATGTTTTTCAATCTCCTTCTTCAATTTGAAATAGTATGTATATTATCGTGCGACAGGTATTATAAATGAAACTTTAGTCACTAGAGGAACGAGTGTTTAATAAATGAGTGTCTGAACAAGTTTATAGGCGTGTTGTGTACTACATATTTTTATTTTTTGGGTACATTTGTGCAACAAACGTCTCGCTCTCAAAGCCCTTGACTAAAATACCAGAAACTCCGGAAGTCACCCGCCATATTGTTCAACTATGCTGACGACTTAACGTGATACTTTGCGCATAATTGGGTATTTTAGAGTTAAGGAGTAGAGAAAATAGATATCCATCATTAAAAGTTAATAATTATTTATGAATAGTAATTTATGGTGGTTTCCTAGAAGCCCCGACTTAACGTCGTTATAGGATGTACAGATCCCATATAATATTTTAAATTAAACGTATATAGGTAAGAAAAAATAGCTTTTTTCTGTATATAAACAAAACTAGAAAAATGGTCAATATGCGCTCAAAACACAATATTATGTTGAAGCTGCGAAATTTGTTCGCTCCCACTTCCTAAACAATATGTTTTTACAACTGTAAAAAAATGGTGACATGGTTGTCAGTGTGACAAATGCGCCATTTTTACATGCAATGTGTGAATTATTTCGTGCACCGTGCAAGAAATATTGTATTTTCATAGCAGCAGAAATATATACAGACTATTTCGCAATATGAAGTTTTAATGGATAATGTGTTCGGTATTTTAACAAATGCAAATACATACTAAAGATATTTTTCAATACAGCTGTAGAAAAAAAAATGAATACCTGCTAGTCATGCTTAGGCTTTCGCAAAACTCATGAATTTATGTATAATTTTTTGACCTTTTGTTTTTTCTGCACACTGATTGCTTTTTTAACTTTGTTTATGCATAGAAAAAAAATGCGTCAATTCCGAAATCTAAATCTGTCTTTCTTTATGTGACTTCATTGTGGCAACGCCGCGCCGCTAAGCGAGGTTCGCTCAACGACCTTTTTTCAAAGTCGAATGCCGACTGATATCATCGTTGGCGGTATACAGAGGCGGCAACCCACGAGCTTTTATTTAGGAGCCCATGTTCTGATGAGTTTTTGTTTTCAATTTGAGGGTCATGTCTGAAAGTAATCCCTAATATAACAAAATTTTAAAAAATGCTGCACCTATAGACTGACTAAAGCAAAGGTTATAAAATATCATAAATAATTTTGCTTTTATAAGTTAATCGATTATATTAATTGTTTTGTCTTTTTGAAATTTTTAATTAATTACATATTAGAATAGAGTAGTACCTTAATGCTATTTCGAAACTTTTTTTTTGTTCAACCATTTAGCATCCCATTACAGAAATAACATGAAATGAGTTTTGTGACGACGTTCAAGCAATATCTACAAGTTTTAATTAACCCAATTTTGTTTACCCATTGGTACCTGTGTATACGTTCTCTAATTATCTTTCAATTTTTTATATTTTATGCCTGGGCGTGTGTGCACCGGTAAGTTTGCTTCGAATTCCTGTTCGAATATCATAAGTTGATTTTTATCTTAAAGATAGTAACAGAAAACCTAAAAATAAAACAAAAAAATACAAAGGATATTCAGGGGCCATTGGATAAACAAAACTGTTACCACCTTTAGAAGCGGCAACATTGCGTGACCGGTATATCTCTATCCCGTCGGTATATTACGTCTGTACGAATATATTTTCCGAGAGATATAGTCCCCTCTTGCTGGCTAAGTACATTGTTATTTCTAGTCTGATTCTTGGTGTGGTGACTTTATGGAACATTTTATTGAAAGTGTTATGAATTATCCATGTCCATGGAAATTAGATGCAAACAATTATAAGAATAACGAAGTGAAGGAGGCAGCCTGGAGGAATATAGTATTGGATTGTGATATAAAAGACGGTTTGTTTAGAGTTCATTTTTTACAGAAAAATGTGTCTAAGTATAGGTAAGGTCTGGGCCACAAAAACTTTAATTCATGGTCCACGAAGGTTGTAATTTTCTAGCGATTTTCTTGTTGGGTTTGTCAAGCAGCGGATTGAGGCGATCATTAAAATTTTCAATACTCTAATCTGCCAGGCATATCCCAATCGACACATATTAATATATTATATACACAAATTCCTTAAAATTGAAAAAAAAAACAAAAAACAAAAACCATTGTCACCGCTCAAAAATAGAATCGGGAAAAATACGGCCCTGTGTTGTCGCGTGTTTAAAGAAAGACGACACGAGTCGGCGAGAGAAAGTTAGGATATGGAAGTATTGAGAGGTTAGATAAAGAGACAGATATAATTCCTCTCATAGTTAGTTGGAGTAGGTAAAAATAGGCAACTTTTAGTTTGCATATTGGCTGCAAAATTTGAGCGAAAAACAAACATGTTGCCATGGAAGATACTGAAACAAAGTCGCCTGGTTAAGTTCACAATCTGAGGCCCAAAGTTATATACATAATAATAAATAACATAAGTACCATTTTTTGTGTTACCTAGGTATATTATAACTGTAGGCATTATACATACATACTAAATAACAAAAATGAGCAAATTAGAATCGTTTCTTTAATGGCAATGGAAGAGTTTATTTTCTTATTCTTGCCCTCAGATTGTGGTCTTTAGCGCATGTTACTTCCAGTTAAGTATTTTATTTTATCAAACGAAGTTTCAATATTCTGAATTGAGCCACTAGTGTGTCAAAGATGTTTTAAAGACTTCTGAACGAAAGTCTTACAGAACAAGATCCAGCGGCTACTCCTTGGGTATTCGCATGGTGCGCGTATCGACCAACTGAACATTACCGCATTCCACACCCTATAAAGTGCTATGCGATATGGTGGAAAACACTCCCTAAAACAAACAAAAAAGAAATTGACAATTAGGAATTGAACAAAATAACACCCAATATGTTACTTTAGAATTGCCATAATTCACTAAACAGGATAGAAAGTCAGCATAAGGTGATCCTATATCATACCATAGAGTAAAAATAGTCTATGTGGGTGCCAAGGACTGAACGTCACCTAAAGGTGAGCACAACGATAACGCTATTGTGGAGATCCTACCTTAGTGCCAAATGAGTGGAAAAAAAATCCCAGCGAAATAGACAGACCAAGAATTATCTTAAAAATTCTTAGATTCAATATTTACAGCAGATTTATGCTAAGCCACGTATGGAAGGTTATAAGAATGATAATGATAATGATTAGAAAAGTCGATTAGACTTAATGGGGGTGGAAGGAAAAAGTGGGCAAGACAAGGGGGAACCGGCCACCAATATGTGGTGCCAGTGAAAAAAGTTAATAGATCTGTTGGGGAGCGGGCTAATTCATTCAAACAGACTGGAAACCTGCTTTTTATATAATATGGAATAGAACAGTGCAGTGACAAGCAAAAACAATAATGAAAGATAAAAGAAAATCGGAAGTTTTCGTCAGTTTCGGCGGTTTTTATATAATTTTTCATTGAAAGAACACGACGAATTGTTCTCCAAAATTCTATAAATAATAGAACAGCATTAAAAAGCCCAGGCAGATCCACGCACTTTTATTAGCTTTAGTTCCGCACTTCAAGCTAGAATCTTTCAGTCTCCATTGTTCTCTACTATTCTAAATCCATTATCTTTTAAAATTCCATTATTACTAAATCTTACCATAGATTCTTTGCATTTAATAAATAACTCAAGCAATTTTTGAAACTAATCTCTTGCGCTACATAAGCAATTGACCTGAATGTGTCTCCGGTATTATCTATTTTATTTCAGTAAAAGAAGCCAAATCTATATGGAAGAAACTTCGGGATGGCCATAGACAAACTTTGAATAAAAAAAGACACCATCTGGGCAAGCAACAAGTAATGACCATCGACTCTGGAAGTATGAAAAGCAAATGGATTTTCTTTTACCACATTTGGCAAGTCGACGAAAAATTACTAATGCTGAAGACGTTATACAAAGGGATAATGATGAAACTGTTGAAATTCTGGAAAACATCCAGCTATAATAGAGCTCGGAGCAAAAACGGAGGGACCAAATATTGGAGGAAAGTGACTTTTATCAAGTGGAACCAAAGGAACATGTCGCGCTTAAGAAGTTTTTCGATAGTATGTATGGCCTAACTAATGATCTGCCAGAATATTTACAAATAAAAGTCCAGCTGCAATTTTTAAAAGTGTTATGGAGGACCGAGAAGAAAAATTGAAAAATGAAAATGAAATGCCAATACCATATTGTGTATATCGGCAATGTTCCTCAAACTCAAGCCTAAATTAGGAATTGCATACCTCCAGAACTCCATTATAAACACAGGCTGTATGACTTACAATTTATACATTGACACACACACGGACAATAAGTTCTAAGAAATTGCTACATACAATATTCCTTACTTAGGAAGTTATTTTATCTATGTTCCGCCGAAGGTTCGAATTTTTGGACTACAAAACTGCGTTTATTTTTATAAAATTGTGGAGGTCATAGAATTCAAATTTTTTGCATTTGGATATAATATGTGAATGGTTCGTTTTTTTTAGGTAAAGCATGCAAACTATAAACTGTTCATCCTTTTCGGACATTGAAGTTGATGAGCTGTCATCTGCCAATAGTAGTGAGCTACTATGAAATTTGGTACTGCCGGAGTTATTATTTTATACTTCACTGTGACGTAACTAGGAACTATTTTATATTACTACCCTGCATCTCCGTAATTGCATATATATAAAAGCATATTACCTACATTTTTTGCATAGGTAAAAACTTATTAACTCTTTTAACCAAATAGTTTGTTTAAATTCAAGTCTTATAGTACACTCAACATACATACATACAAACTGTGGTTGATGAAAATATCAAAGAAAAATTTGTAAAATTCTGTAATTATCTATTTCTAGGAGCTTTTGAATTGACCATAAAAAATAATTTTGTTCTCAAGTGTCGATATTAATAACATTTTGGGTGGTACGATCTTGTAGGCAATAAAACCCAATTTCAATTTGCTGGCGTTTCGAAATAAATTATTTCTTCCTTAAAGCTAATCAAAAAAAGTTTTTGTAGCCACAACTCATTGTATGGTGTATTCACGATCGTTAAAATTGTATAGAAACAAACCACATATTGGGCCCTATAATTCGTAACAAAAAGGCACGTACGTACCTAACAATGTAAATGAAATCTGCCCGCAAGATCCTACAACTCATAAAAACAACTTGCGATTAAATAAAAAAGATCGTTAGGGGAGTTTTAAAAATATTTATTTCGTAATAAAAATCGACTTTTCAAACTAAATTTATTGCATTAAAAGCGTAAATAATAGTATCAGAAGGGTAAACTATTTTATCGTGCAATGCAAACAACGCTTTATACAAATTATTTCCAGCAGTACCGGTAATGTTCTGTTCACATTAAACTGCCTCGATATCTTCAGTGCACATAAAGGTGGACCAACCATAGAAGAGAGAATGATAATAATAACAACGTCCTTTTCTAATGCAAAGAAGAGAAGAAACTAGACCTAACCCAACTTTTGATTTGTTATCTATGGGCCAAATCAAAAGCGCTATAAAATTCAAAAAATGGATAAAGCTGATTCGTTAGAATATGCTGTACTGGAAGAAATGGATTTGTTGAATATCTGCAGAATATGTTTGAGACGAGACGGTACTCTGACTTCCATTAACAATCCTGATAATGATTCTATTAAGCTATCAGACAAACTGTCTTTATGTGTTGTGGACGTTGTAGGTATTGTTTACCTACTGAAAGTACACTTTTCAAATTGATTTGATTTTAGCAATGGTGTAGAAGCGGTCTCTCGTCGCTAATCTGCGAACAATGCCTTGCTACCTTACGAATATCATATAATTTTAGAACTAGTTGCATAAGTACAGATCAGATATTGCAGAAGTGTTTGTCAGATAACATTGACTTTAAGCAGCCGTTAGAACGACAACTATTGACACCAACAAAATTTGATTTCTCTATTTCTAATCATGAAACAATACCATTGCTTAGTGAAGAAACACAAAATTCGGAATATCTTCATTTAAAACATTTTTTGGATAATGAAGAGGAATTGGATAAAAGCGAAGTTGCACATCAGAACAGAGTAGTATCTGGAAATTCTACACCAGTTTCCACAGCAGGTACTGACCAAATTTAATCAATTTTTGAAATTTAATTTCTCTGGAAAAATTGATAAAATTTAGAAACTCTACTAAAATAAAATTACCATTTGAACCTGTCTTTAAAATTGCAGATTATTTGGATCATTCTTTTAATGTAGAAAGATCAATAGATATTCCAGAAAGTATTGATATGAAAGCTGTTTCGGAAATAAATGACGAAGAAAGAAATCATCAACTAGTCAGAAAAATTAGTAAGGAAAGTCATCATGAACTTGATTTAGAGACACAAATTTCTAACAAAGAGGAGAACTCGAAATTTGATGATTCCATACAAGTTTTGCATAAACCAAAAATTATTGTTCAGACTATTCCATCAATACCAGTACACTTTGGGGTTAATAGAAATCAACAAATGGTGGTGAAAAAGAGTACAGGAATTCAGGTAAAATATATACACAAATCAGTGCCTTTCATTGCCTACCATTATATTTATTTGCCATTTTTTAAAGGTCATGCCATTAGCAGAAGCAACAACAGAAAGTTGTTCTAAAAAGTCATATGCATGTAAAGAATGTGGTAAAAGTTATAAAAAAAGTGCAAACTTAAAAATGCATATGAGAACTCATACAGGGGAAAAACCTTTTGAGTGCAAATATTGTGTAAAAAGGTACAAATATAGATAAGGGCTTTAAGTTTCATTAATAACTGATTTAAACTTTCAAGGTTTTACCATTCTTCACATCTTAATGAACACATAAGAAGGCATACAGGGGAAAAACCCTATCAGTGTACAATATGTAAGAAAAGATTTACCGTCAGAGGTGAATTAACAATGCATACAAAGTCTCACACTGGCGAAAAACCTTATGGTTGTACTCAGTGTGATAGGAGGTGAGTTTATTTTCCTTTTTGATCACATATGGTGTGTAATTTATTGTCCAACAAGTAAATCCAGAAAGCTAATGAAAATATGAGTTTTGATAAAACTGAAAGTCTTTAGAAAAAGCCAATGCAAGGTAAGGTATTATGAAAACTGGTTCAGTTGGGTATTCCATCTAAATAATCTAGTTAATCACAATTATTGTTTAGTTATTGTCAATATGAACGGAATTTTGAAAGTAAGAAACCAAACTTTTGAAAAGTAATTTTAATTCAAAAAGTGACAAAAAAAACGTGTGCCACCGCTTTTTTTCATTTTTTGTATCTTTTTAAAATTAAGCAATTAAACATACAAGTTTTTGTGTTCTTAATTTTTTTTTTATTCCTTTATTACAAAATGAAAAATAAAAATTGAAGGAAACCTCTTATAAACCCCGCACTAATAAAAAAAGTATTTAACAATAAATAAAGCTAACTTAATTGAAGGTAATATAATTTATTTTTAGATGTCTAACCTTGGCAGACCTGCGGATACATGTTCGAACTCACACCGGGGAAAAGCCTTACGATTGTGACATGTGTGGTAAAAAGTTCGCCAGTTTGTATATACTAAATTCACATAAAAAGACTCACACCGGTGAGAGACCATATGCCTGTGATATTTGTAGTAAAACTTTCACTCAGTCCTCGCATTTGAATGTCCATAAAAGGAAACACACTGGTGAAAAATTTCGATGTAAAATTTGTGATTCAATTTTTGCTCATCCTTCTCAACTAACTGTTCATATGAGGGAGCACACAGGTAAGGTTGTTTGTGATGCTCTTAAAATCATAAAATTTCGTTAAAAGTGAAATATACTCACATGCTTGTTCTAGGTAAGCAACCATATAAATGCACAGTGTGCGAAAAGGTGTGCAATTATGCATCGGAATTACAAGTACACATGATGAAACACACGGGCGAGAAATTTAGCTGTCAGACATGCAGCAAACAATTCTCCACGGCAGCTTATTTGGCTGAACACAGTCGCACCCACACTGGTAAGTCAGTAAAAGGTTTTAATCAATTTTGAAAAACTGAATGCGTCCACCCATATATTTTTTTATTCAGCTGCAAAAGCTGTATTCTGAGACAAATTTCACGGAAAATATTTATTAACAATGAAGTTATAACAAGCAATACTAATGCATCCAAGTTATTTAATAGTATATTATGCAATAAGTTTGATAAACTCCATTTTAAACGAGTTTAATTTCATATGAGCGCATCGAGCGCTTAATAATCGAATGATCGAAGAAGTTTGCCATTGTGTTAGTTAGGGTTTTAAAATGGCGGATTTCGTTTTTAAAAACTCTAATTTGTTCCATGGAAAAAATCTATCGAAAACATTAGATCGGTCCCAAACCTGTGATAAGAGTAGCGGAAATGTGGGTCATCATCATCCGTTCGCTTGTTGAACTCCGACTGGAATCCTGCAGGATATAGTGTCATCACATTTTTCCATCCGTGAATCAATAGGTGAAAAAAAAAAAAAAAAAAAAAAATATATATATATATATATACATATATATATATATATATATATATATATATATATATATATATATATATATATATATATATATATATATATATATATATATATATATATATATATATATATATATATATATATATATATATATATATATATATATATATATATATATATATATATATATATATATATATATATATATATATATATATATATATATATATATATATATATATATATATATATATATATATATATATATATATATATATATATATATATATATATATATATATATATATATATATATATATATATATATATATATATATATATATATATATATATATATATATATATATATATATATATATATATATATATATATATATATATATATATCAAAGAAAATGGCGCAAAATTTTAACTTGAACTGTTGAATTTCTTAGTATAAATACGCTTCGAAAAGTTGCATGCCTGTACTTTGTGATATGAACGTGAACAGTCTTGGAATTATTTGAACCAGATTTTAATAAAAAACTGACAGTACAGCAAATCAGCAAATCGTTCACTGGGTGCTATAATGGCACATATCAAAAAATAGCTGTTTTTAGTTAATATAAATATTTTTTGTTTTAAAAAGAGAATAATTCAAATCAATATGTAATTATAAACACATATCACTATAAATTTTGTAATGAGCTGTAGAGTTGATATGAGTTATCTCAATATTTCAGTTTTTATTTTCCTAAATCACTGAGTTTCTCGGAACTATTATTTTGCGAATGAGCCACTATGTAGCGAATATGTAGCATACATGTATGGTAAGTGTGTTAAGCGCTGCAAATAAAATGTACTGGAGGCATTGTCACACAAAGCTGAAAAGTTCTGTGTACTGTGTGAATCCTATTAAATTTTAACTGTCAAAACCCACGACTGTTGCCATTTTTTTTAACTTGCCACATCATTGTGTATTAAAACTATTTTGTTAATAATGAAGATAAAAAAATATTTTTAAAGGAGTTAGATACACATCTAAGTTATAAGTAGGTATTTTATTAACAGTTGCTACTGTTTTATTAACTGCGTCTGCTGCATATTTGTTGTATTTGCCGTTTTTAAATTTGTTTATTAAAAAAAAGTTAGAAGTGTGTGGAGAATTTTCAGTTGTTAGGACTTTCTACTATAACACAGGTTGCGGCAGATTGTGGAAATAATAGAAGTTAAGTATAAAATTATTCTTATTAGTAAATTAATTTTTAACCTAACTCCTAGGTTGGAGTGTATATTGTAAGTTAGATGTGCAATAACATGTTTTATTTCATTCAAATACTTTTTGAACTGAAAATAGGCACATTATAAGGGAATATGTAGTAAATGAAACTATAACTTTCAATTAACCAAGGTTCTTGTGAGTGTGTTCTCGTGAAATATTGTTATTTAAAAACCTTTTTCCGATTTACTTTATTAAACCCATTGTTTTCACAATCGAAAAAGTAATTGCAATTCAGGTTTTATAGTCGCAGAACTTAACGATTTCATTTGCCAAAGTCAGCCTTTAGTGAATTTCATGCATTAACAGATAATCTTTAAATTTTGGCAAAAATGTCCATAGGTTTTAGAAGCGTTCTGACTCTTACATTGGCTTTGAATAGTGCCGAAATTTTTGGTTCAGTTAGAGTGTGTCTGACATATTGGGATTACTATGTTCCCTGGAATAGCCGTTGCTGGAGAAATGATTATGATATTTTAGATGTTGTAAGTATTTTATTTATGCATATATTTTATACAAAAAATACTACATTGTTTAAGATGCATACATGCAAAAAGAAGAGTAGGTTTGTTAAACATTTCCATTTTCAGACTGGGATAGCAAGAACTTGGGGTTTTAAAACTTCCTCTTATACTTTAACTTTGGAAGATGGGTATATAATATCGGTATTTCGAGTATATAAAAATATTACGCAAAAAACACCTATAGTATTGGGTCATGGATCCGTAACAAATCCATTTAGTTGGGTGTTTGCGGGCAACAATTCTTTAGCGTACGTTCTAGGGAACTTGGGTTATGATATCTGGATGATGAGCTGGCGTGGTACTATATTCAGTAAAACCCACGTAACTCTTTCTAACAAGGATCGTGCTTACTGGCAGTTTACGTAAGACTCTAACTAACTTAATTTTTTAAAAAAATGTGGGAAGTCTTGCAGTTTTCATCAAATGGGTATCTACGACGTGAAATCTACGATGGATCTTGTATACAACATCACTCAAGAAAAAGCAATTTATATAGGTTATTCCATGGGAACGACAAACAGCTATGTTTATTGTTCAATCCTTCCGGAACATTGTCGCCAGAGATTGCTTGGTGTTGTTTCCTTTGCCCCTGTTGGTTACATGCTCGGTGCCAAAGGATTGTTCGCGATTTTATGGCGACCTTTTTGTTGGCACATCGTTAGGGTATGAGCATCTGTAAAATATAATTGCACCGGAAAGTGGAGTTTCAATTTTTGTAGCATTTAACTTACTTTTTCTTAAATGGAGAGTTTCTGAAGCTGACGCCGTCTCTAAAGATAGTATACAGGATATTATCGCTAACTCCTTTGATGAATTATATTGGAATAACATTGTTCAGCTTTCTATATGGATTTCACATCCACACCCTCGATCCGGTAATATAAATTTTCAATTTGGTTAAGTGTTTAAACTCTATATTATGTGTTTACCTGAATTATGTGTGTCTCTTCCAGACTACGACCCCAGTAATTTTCAATAGGTTCCAAGATACGATCGGCATAGAAGTGTATTCACATTATTCGCAGAATTTTAACAATAAGGCCTTTAATCAGTTTGATTATGGAACGCAAAAGAATTTGGAATTGTATGGGCAATCACATCCCCCAGCATATCCGCTTGATAAAATACCAGTTCCCGTCGCCATGTTTGTCGGTAGGAACGATTATCTTGGCACTCTGGAGGTAGAGCGTTCTTGATACAATTTAACGACATTTAGATGCATTTCTGAAATTTTAGGCCACATCAAAAATGTATTCGTTGCTGCACTCCCAAGCTCAGTGTTTGTATCATATAGTGAGCGATCCAAAATATTGTCATTATGACTTTATAATTGCAAAGCATCAAAGTGTTCTATATGAACCCATGCTGAAAACTATTAGATTAATGGAAGCAAGGACTTGTACATAACAGATCACCGATATTGTATATTTAATGATTTTAATAAAATGTTTAAACCGGGTGTTAAATTATTAGTTGTTCAAGTTTCCTCATTAGTCGTTTCTCAGCTAAGTTACGTAAGCATAATTTGGGAATGTTTGTGGTGCATTTAAACTCTGTCAATATAGCATAATTATATTACAATTTCCTGTAGTTGATCGCATATTTATTGAATTATGACACGCCAGACCATAATTTTGGTTATGTTTGTTGTCATTTCTATATACAAAGAAAATTATATAAATAAATGGTATAGTGATATAGCCCAGAACGAAGTTAAATTCTTAGAACTAGTTGTTTGGTGATTTATAGAGGTAGAAGTGTTGCTATTAATTTGTTGTGTGTGTTTTTTTTTTGCAGGTGAGAGACTGTCAATTTGTTCAATATGCAACAGGTCGTTTACGAGAAATCAGTATCTTGTGAAACATTTAAGAACACACACCGGCGAAAAACCTTATACTTGCGATATATGCTACAGAAAATTCACCCAGTCGTCCAGTTTGAAGGTAAAGTAATTTTTGTTTTTCCTTTTTACATTAGTTTCTTGATTTTAGCATTCGGAAACTACTCCAGTCTTTAAATTCTATTTTGATCCGACCTGTTCTTCACCATTAGTTTTGTTATAGGTGCACATACGTATCCACACGGGTGAAAGGCCGTTTTCTTGTAATTTTTGCGAGAAAAGGTTTATAACGAATTCCGACCTGACTAGCCACGTTAAAACGCATAAAAAATATGCTGTTTTGTAGAGGATATCCATTGTAACTTATAACACAGCTTTAATATTGAATTTACTCATATACACCCTACCATACCATAGACACGAAACAGTTTTAGAATTATTGGTGTGATAGATACGTTTGACGTTATTGAGAAGATGTGCGTAAAAGATTTTAAAATAGGTTATATATGTAAATAATTTTAGACATTAGACTTTTATTTTATAAATGTGTAGGTAATACTTTTTTAATAAACTTTATTCAAATGCTTGCGAGTCTGATTTTAAACCTGTACAAATATTTGCGGTTGTACTGTAGGATTATAACAATCCTAAAGCACTTAATTAAGTTTCCACATTTAAATTGATTACTAATTAATTGATAAATTAATATTTAGAAACATGAAAACCATTACTTCAGGTACATTAATTTATCAAAAAAAATTCTTGTTAATTAGTGTGAGATGAACTCGGGTTTTTTTTTATCATTCCACTTTTATTTTTTGAAGAGACAGTTACTTTCAATTACATTTAGTACTCTCACCACATTATTGTGAAAATGAGATGTACTTTGATCCCGTTCATGCCTTTCTATGGCCCAGTGCCGGTTTGTATTTTGGACGTGATTTTGTGGTGTATGATGATTAGAATGAACCTGATGCGGTCCAAATCGATTATTATTTGTACTGTGATTGTTTCTGTCAACAAAGCTGACAGTTTAGTTGAGTATTCCTAAAATTCTAATAGGAATTATGATTATTTCTGCCGCAAAACTGACATTTTAATTGAGTGTTGTAAAAAAAATGAGGAAAATTCATACTTTTATTTTTTAACAAACAATTTTCTTCTAAATGGTTTTTTGCGCGACATCAATTGTTCGATTAGAAAATGAACCGCCATTTATCTTTTCCAATTGGATTGCTTTTTCAAATAATCTTTCAATGTCATCTTCATCAACCGTAGCAAATGAAGTACGAAGCATGATATTAAAAAGCCCTTTTACAAAAACGTCTTTCAATAAATTGCCTCTCAAAATTTTCTTAATTTCATCTTTACTGGTGGGGTTTGAAATGTAAAATGACTCTAAATATTTTTCATGGTTATTTTTTAGTTTTAGGACAAAATCTTGAACCTTTTCTTCCTGATACTGTTTACGATTTAAAAATTCAAAACTACAATCTATACTTGCTTTTGTTTAAGAAAAATATATTTATTTAATGTTGAGAACAAGAAAGACAACCGTCTAATTTTTTCAAATGCTAATTTCATTAGCCAAATGTTTTGTGTAATAATTTTGGTTTAGGATAACGCTTAACACTTATATTATTTAAATTAATAGTATCCAAACATTTTCTATCTCGATTAAAATTGGGAATCATATTTAGAATCGACACTAAATCGAACGATAAACCCGATGGTTTTGATGCGTTTTGTACTTGACCCGTTGTTAGTGCCATTTTTTTTAAATAATATTTCAAAATACTCGAAATTTAACCAAAGTATATATGGAACAGTAAATTAAGTCTAAACAAAAAAACTACAATAATATTTAATGTCATGTAAAGGATAATTTAGTTTAGGATTTACAAAAAAACAGATAATTACTGGTTTCTGGATACCGCTACCACCAAAAATGTGATGAAATCTGGATTCTTGTGTTAGTTCTAAAGAAGAAAACATCTCGGGGTGAGAGTACCAAATGTAATTGAAAGTTACTGTCTCTTCGAAAAATAAAACTGGGATTACCAGAAAAACCCTAGTGTCAATTATTCTTCGTAATATTAGAAAAAATAAATATACAAGCATCCTGATTTCATCACAAGTGCGTCGTCAAATTGTCATAATTGCTTTTAATTTTACTGGGGCGGTGGGTTGGGTTCTGGTTGGACAGAATATTACCTTTCTTGGGACTTACATCGGGAAATTTATCTTTCAAGCTAAATTTTTGGCCTTAAAAGCCAACGTAACTAAACTATTTCATCCCCGTATACGAATAAGGAGTTTTCAAGTGTCTTCCAAATTTGAATTATTTTTGTTCCAACCCGTATAAACGCACATTTGTGTATTATAGTGTGAACTTGTCTTCATAAAACTATGGCATGATACTTTAGTAAACTATTAACTAAAATTTAAATTAAATGTTTATGAACAAATTATTAAATGTTTTATGAACAAAAAGTAGGGAAATTAAGAAATTTCCTCAGCAATTAGTGGTGGTGCTTGCCTGGAAATGCAGAATTATCAGGCGTGGTGACAATTGTGTCATAAGGTCAAACTAACCACCAAGTCTGAATATCTATAACGATAAAGTCAAAAATGTGTCAAAAACGCTTATCAACGCAAAGTTTTGCGGTATAAGAGACAAAACAAAAGAACATTACCCGTTTGTGAATTATTAATCACTGGTTATTTATCAAACAAATAATTTTTTTGGTCAATTGTACTTTTCCTTTGGTGCATATGCAATCGACAAACTAGGGCAGCCTGTAATTTTTTTTAAGTGTTTGACCGAAAGTTTATTAAATTGTCGGTTTGCCAAAAGGCTTCAGATATGTTTCCTTTCTCTCGCCCCGCCTTTTAGTTTTATCGCCGTGACACAATAATTACTATTTGGCGCCCAATTACTTTAATGCGTATATGAATTAGATAATTCGAAAAAATATTTAAATGTTCATATTGCTCACAATTATTTGTTGTAAATATATATGTATTCACTTTTAACGATGCGTTGGGAACTTAAGTATGTCGTGTTCTTAATATTCGCCCTTGCAGTAGAGGTGAAGGGTTCGATAAAAGTATGCAAAAAATACAGCGATTTTTACATTTCCGGGAGTAAAGATTGCTGGAGGAATAACTACGATGTTCTGGATGTGGTAAGCATATTATATTTCCAACATTTTTTGGAAAATTTACAATGTGGAGAAGGAGAACAAGTATTGTGTGCAATACGTTTGAAACCACTGTAGAGTAGTAGTAGTGTAGTAGAGTTGATAAACTGTTGTCCTGGTTCGCTTCTAAAGGCCGTCGTCGAGTATTATCCAATGTAATAGACTAGGTAAATTTTATTTGCATTTAATAAAATTCATTTACAAAGATATGTGGACATATGTAGCATGAATAAGTTTTACGTACCCGTCGTCTAATCCCAGAAAGGTATTGTGATTCTAGCTAATTTACCAACGTAGTTTACATAGTGAAAATAGCTTTTGTTTTCAAAAAAAGTGTATGGTATCCTAATTTGTAGGAAAATATTGGATGTATTGGATGTGATGTATTACGAATGTATATCAAATTTGAAAAAAAAATTCTTTATATATTAGACTCTCAAATATATACTTTAATCATATGTACCTATGTATACATTTGTACGTACTATTTTAGTCGCATATACCTAATATGAACTGGCGCCTGAGCCTATATTAAACTCAAAAATAATTCGGCATTTTAGTCAGGAATAGCTAGAACGTGGGGATTTAAGACGGAAAATTACTCCCTAATCTTGGACGATGGTTATATTATTACGGTATTTAGAGTTTACAACGAAATTACGCAAAACACGCCAATAGTGTTGGGACATGGGTCATTAACCAATCCACTCAGTTGGGTGTTCGCCGGAAACAACTCTCTACGTAAGTTCAGGAGTTTTATCACTCCCTGAATTTTTAGCTATTCCAAATGCGATTTCTTTATTTTTACTCGACCTATAGCATATGTCTTGGGGAACAGGGGATACGACGTGTGGATGGTTAGCTTTCGAGGTACTGCTTATAGTAAAGGACACGTGTCTCTTTCACCAACAGATCACAAGTATTGGCAGTTCACGTGAGTACTCCATACCGTATTCGACTTAGCATTTTGCCCAAGAGCCTAAGCAAATTAGTCGTATAAAGCAACGAATAGAAGAAAAAAATCATAGTTTTGAAATTTTGGTACCGGTAAAACCAAATAGAACCGAAGATTTAATACCCTGTCGGCGGAAGCTTCATTCCTTTACGCCCAAAACACTATCTCAAAGATATGATCTCACAACTCTTTTCGGTGTGTACTTTGAGCTTGTGTCCACACCCTTTCACACAACCCTGTGGTTTTCTCTGTACGCTCGTTTTCCTAGCGAAATATGACTGTTTAATCATCTTCCTCTGCAAAATCGTTGACCTCGACACCTCTGCGCGTAGTAATTGGAACACAATGCTGTGAAGAGCATTCACATAACTGCATTGCTTTCCGCATAGACTTTTTCAGCCGCAGCGATCCAATTTAGTCAAGTCATCCATCGCGACAGCAAACAATACTATGAAGATTAACGACGACTGTGTGATCTAAGTTGACACTGCAAAGAACAATCAGTTAACAAACAAAAGCTAATGAGAAAAAGAAAAAATCCTCTTTATACGCTGTGTTTGATGTAAGAAATTACAGACTATAAACATAATAAATACAAGAGAAGGTTTGCAAGAGGTGCAAAGTAGATGATAATATAGCAATAATTTCTGGGCCTACATCCTACAACTGAACAACACAACTACAACTTTGAACCAACTGAACTCTAGCTCGAGATTTGTGTGGAAATAAGCTCAAAGTACATAAGGAAAGGTATAAAAAACTAACAATCGCTCATAAATATTTTATTTTATGTGGGCCTTGTAGACAAAAAATTACTCTTCAATTTCTGTTCATTTCTTGCTTATAGTAACTCTCGAGATAATCGCCGCGCTGGGCTAATTTTTCTCTTGCCGCTTCTCGCATTATCAAAATTTCAAAACCTTATAATTTTTTTCAGCTTTATTTTTTTTTCAGGTTTATTTTCTTGAATTAACTAATTTCTTAATTTTCGTATATCTTATTTATATACCTGTTTCCCTAGATTTAGTTGTTCCTTATATTATAAAAATCATATCAACCATTAATCCCAGTTATAAAAGCTTGGTTTTAATATTGTATATTCATTACTTTATCTTATTAATTTGGAATTTCTATAAAAACATTAAATATAAATTTCAGCTTCCACCAAATGGGAATATACGACGTAAAGTCAACCTTGGACCTGGTCCACAACACTACAAATAAAAAGGCTATTTATATAGGATACTCAATGGGGACTACCAACAGCTACGTCTATTGCTCTATGCTTCCGGACCATTGCAAGCAAAGGCTCTTGGGGGTGATTTCTTACGCACCCGTCGGTTATTTACTTGATGCCAAAGGCGTCTTGCCCATTTTGTGGCAGCCTTTTATTTGGCCCATAGTGAAGGTACGGTATGCATGTTGTGTAATATTATAATATTTTTTTCCCTACTGCCTAATTCTGCAAGGTTGTAGAGTAGGCAACTCTTGCCATCAGCTACTAATCTTGTGTAGTACGCAACTTCTACTTTTGGTTAGTTGGTATTGGTATTCATGTTTCTGCAGCAACTTCCGCTGAACTATCAGTAACAAGCTTATTTCTCACTGGAATAAACTACGGTTTTTAAGAAAGCTTGGTTTTCATGTGTCGTGAGGAAATTCTTTGAGGCTTCTTTTACCGAATTAGTTTTCGGGTGTAGGTCCAATATGGTAAAAGCGTTAAATATAGTTTGCTATCTAAAAGATTAAAATTATTACAGATAATATTTTGAAAACGACCTCCGGAAACAACGTTGCTGTAATGTTACTGGAGCGAGAAAATTGGAGCTGCAATAAACATTTTGTTTATTATTTTCACTAATTTAGATTAAAAAATCTAGAGCCTGGAAGGAATGGTTGCCGAAGCAGTCAGCAAAGCACGAATTCTTGAGTTAGAGTATATTTTTCTATATCATTCGCCGTTTAAAACCGTTTTGCATTTTAAATGATTTATTTTTTATTAATATTTTTGTAAAGCATTTATAATTTTGAAGAAACTATGTCGTGACGAAGAAACCTTTAGGAACAGTTGGTAATAAACATTTTATTTTTAATGCTAATTTTTGCTTATTCTCATATTAACCCCGGCACAAGCGGTGAGCAATAATGAATTCTTCTTCTCTAACCATAACTATATTTTTAAATTTGCATTTTTGAAAAGGGCGTATTTTCCTGAATATGACGTTATAAAATTTTAGTGGAGTTTCATAATAAAAAAATTATTAAATGAAAAATTGTTTTTACACATTTTTTTTCATACTATATTTCAATTTTTCCATAAATAAAACACTTTGTTGTGGCAATTTTTTGTCCAGCAACAAGATTTTTTCCGTTTACTTTTACTTGTTCGTCCTCTGGATTAAGCTGTGGTTAGTATCTAATCTTTACCATTTTTGCTTTTGATTTAAGAGATATACGTTACAATACATCAGAAAATTAACTGATTGATATTTACTGTCTACTTATATTTTAGCTAGTCCCTGGAATTTATAAGAATTTTGTGAAGGTTTTTTTGTAACATACTCAGTAGAAAGAACATCTAATTTCGTAAACCCCCATCACCCCATACATATTTCTCTAACCTAGGAATTGGAATTTACTTTCGCCATTCATCTGCAGATGGCAGCACAGTTTAAATTTTCACGTGCATACAGTGTGTCTCGAAAAGTGTGTCGAGTGTCAAATTGAGAGTAGAGTTTGGATTAGGAATTGAGCATTAGATTTAAGGTTTGAGCAATTTTGTAAGGTTTTGGGCACATTGAATAAGCAGACGAAAGCAAAACAATACGATGATTTACTAAATATACGCCCACACACGCAAATACATTTTCATTTCGTTTATGTTAATAAGAGACGAAACGAAACATGTAGGGCGACGATAGAAGATATTGTTATATATATTGTAAGAGATGTGATGGCGCCAATAGACCGATATGTCGTAAATATAATATACATAAACAGAATTTAATTTTCTCTATAATCATAGTACTGCCAGTTTTTTTGGATATCTCAGAAACTAGGTGAAATTATTGTCAATTAGAAATGGCTTTAGGCTTAACTTACCTAAAATTTACCCCATTTAACCGAATTCGTATTTCTTACTCAAGATTCCAATTGTCAATTTGAGACAACCTAATTTAAAACGAACATAATATTAAAAATATTTTCATGTGTATTATATTATTGCTCACCGTTCGTAACCAGTTTTGTACTGTCTATGTTTATATAATATAACGATGTCATATGTTATATTTTAGACTGTTACGTATACATTTTTCAACGGCGAATTTTTCAAACCGATACCGCCACTGAAGATCCTCTACAAAGTGCTGTCTCTCACACCTTTGGGAAATTATGCAGGCGTTTTTGCACTCAGTTTTCTATTTGGGTTTCACATATCTACCATCGACCCGGTAAGGAGTCCAACTTAACCAAAATATTAATTCATTTTCAAAAGATTGATAAAACGAAATTAAAAAGTAATCATTTTAGAGCTACACTCCAGTAGCTTTGAACAGATTCCAGGATACCGTTGGTATTGAGGTGTATACGCATTACTCTCAATGTTTCAACAATAAGAGTTTCAATCAGTTTAATTACGGAAAGAAAAAAAATATGCAACTGTATTCGCAAGAATACCCGCCAGCGTACCCACTCGAAAAAATTCCCGTTCCCATCACGATGTTCGTTGGCAAGTCCGATTTTTTGGGAACTATATCGGTAAAGTATTACAGGTTTTGGGTGTTGGCTTTAGAACCGCTAAGCAGTTCTCAATATTGTATTCAGCAAGCCCATTTTAGGCTTCCTCAAGCATGTACTCTTTGTTAGATTCTAAATCACAGTGCGCGTACCATATAATGGAAGATCACAGATGGTGTCATTACGATTTCGTAATTGCCAAACATTTACCGGATTTGCACAAACCTACGTTTGAAAAAATCCAACAGATGGGAAACGGTACATGTGGTTAAGACCTTTGGAATAGATGGATGTCAATAAAAACCTTGTGTGGTCTTTTGCCTTTTAAATTTTTGTATTTTTTAAGGTTGGAAAGGAAGGTTATAGTCGCAATTGTTCAAGCAGATCGCTTCCATACGTATGTACCAAGCTATTGGTTACACTAGTTGAACAGATAAGATCGAAGTGACTTCACGTGGATATTTTAAAAAACTTATTTCGGGACATTCATTTTATTCTTGTTGTGTGCTAGCGTACTGCAGCAATTGTAATGTCTCAAATGTGTCAATTTTGGGGCATAGGCTATAATATACTAGGCTACAAGTCCTACTGCCAATTTCTTATGACACTGACACTGAAACTTCTCTAGAAGATACAGGTTCTTAAAAAATCATACTCATACATATTTCGATAGTATTTCGTAAAATTAAATTACAATAATTATGAATTACTTCATTTTTAATTTTTCAAAGGCTACTGAAATACTGTTTACAAATTTTCGGAATTTCAAAATAAATAAGAACTAAAAGTTCTGATTTTCACGAAATTATGTATTTTGACAACGACACGGTGTTGTCGAAACAATTGTCATGTCGAAATATATAATTTCGCGAAAATCAGAACTTTTAGTTCTTATTTATTTTGATAAATGGATTTTCATCAAGTAAAAGCCACCTCAGTTCAATTTTTCCGAACTTCCCTTGCGTGGGTTATTTATAAATCAAACTTCCTGACGTTTCGCCAATCATCCTGTTGGTTTCTTCACAGCTAAACTGAAACTGGCTCGCATTTTATTCTGTGCCCGCTTATATATTGTTTGAGGCGGGATCATTGTCTCGGATGACTGATTCCCATATTGGTTGGTTGCTTATAGAATTGATATGCAAAAATCCTAGTTTTATCGAATAATATTTGATGTCCGGTTTCGCGATTGTGTTCGGCAACTGCTGATGAGTTTATTTGTCGTAATCTTAAGCCTCTTTCATGTTCTTTGAACCTAGTTGATTTTTCGTCCAGCCTCTCCGATGTATTCGTTGCCACGTATGAATGGAATCCTATAAACTTCTGGTATCTCAAATGGAATTTTGTCTTTGACGGATCGAAGATGTTGAAAGATTTTTGGACAAGTGGTAAATCTGGTTTTGACGTTATATTTCTTAAGAACCTTGGATATGTGGTCAGTCATGTTTTGAATGTAAGGAAGGACAACAGTGGCAAGTGTGGGGTTGCTTTCGGACTAATTGTCTTTTGAAGGTTAAAGTGTATTTTTGTGATGGAAAGCCTAATATCCCTAATATGGAAATTATAGGCGAGAAGAGCAGATGTAAGGTATCCGAGAATCTACAGAAATCTATAAGCAATCAAATAATCTTTACCGCGACTGTACGTCTTTACCTTTCACCTTTCTTCAATATGGGAATCAGTGATCAGAGATAATGTTCATGTTCCTTCTTCAGGTCCGCCCCCCTCTAACAATATATGAACGGGTACAGAGTAGGATGCGAGCCAGTTTAAGTTTGGTTCTGCAGAAGTCAACCGACGCAAAACGAATTCAGAAGATTTGTAAATAGTATATCATTTTTCACTATCAACTTTAATATAACCGTTGAATGAAATACTTCAGGAGGTATATAAGAAAAATAAAAAAGTGATACTAATAATGAACAAATAATAACATTAAATAAGTTCGTGTGAACTCGTCTAGAAAAGCGGATTTTGAATTAGATAAAAAACTGACAAAGCTATAGTTGAACTTTAAATTTTTTAGTCAAAGTTTTAAAATGTGTCTGTTTATTTATAGATTGTTTTAAACGCATTAAAAAAATGTCAATTAAAGAATTTAGAAAAATTATTAGAAGTAAGTTTATATTTTAATGTTAATTGATAGCTTTAAAAATACAAATTGCTAGTTCCATGTTCCATCCACTACTAGGCATACTATACAAGGCAGTTAAAAAACTCTGGTAAAACAAATTTTTGATTGTCCCAGTATATGAGATAAACAAAAAATATTAATTTAATTAAAATATTGTTTTTGCGTTTACAAGGAGCACCCATACTATCACCCCTATGTGTTCAACATAAGGATTTACAGAATGGATACCCCAAAAAGGTGGAGGAACTGTTAATTTACAATTAAAATTGATGTTAACTAAAAATGGCAAAAATAAACATTTTACTTCAACACTGTTCTATATTCATTAGAAACCTCTTTTTGTAGTTTGTCTCTCTCATGGACTTTAAAACACGAAATAATATTTCATTAGTAATAGTTAAATATATTGACATAAATGAATATTTAAGCAGCAAACATATCGCAAATTCATAGTCTATTTTCACCATTACAGCGAAATTTTGTTTAACCAAATATGTATCTGTGTACTATTGAGATCGAGACATTTTTTTAAGTTATTTTTGCAGCCTACAGCAACTTCCGGGTCCCGAGCATACTTATCTTGGACACAGAGTATCGCAGGTATATTATTAAGATCTAGGGCGGAAACGACCAACAGCTACTATCTATTTATTGTCACTAAGTTCGTTGTTTTTTTTTGCAGGTCGACGACTTAGAAAAAATGCGGTTGCCACAGAAACATGATACACCAGTATGATCGTACCTTTGAATGTGCAATATTTTTAGTCCTACAGAATTATTCACAATAACCAAATATGACTTTTAGACAGACGGTCTTGTACTGTAGATTTATTTGTTTAAGGGATTAACGTACACATTTTTCGGCGGTGAATTTTTAAAAGTGACTCCCGCTTATCAGTTTCTCACTAAAATAGTCTCCGCATCGCCTTTAGCAAATTACGGGGTGGCATTCCTAGTAGGACTCTTCGAAGGTATCCATCTCAACACATTAGATCCAGTAAGACCTATTGCATCGCCTCGAAAATCATTTGGTGGTTTTGTTTGTTGTTTTAGAGCTACATTCCTGTTGTGATATATAGATGGTTGGACAGTATTGGAATCGAAGTTTACACCCATTTCGCTCAAGTCTGCGTGGGCAAGAATTTTAGTCAATTCGACTACGGAAAGCTAGGCAACATCGAACATTATGCTCAAGAATATCCACCTGCCTATCCCATCAGTGATATTTCGGTTCCTGTCGCCATGTTCGTTGGACGAAACGATTATCTTGCTACATTGACGGTAAATTCTTTGTGTTTATTTATCGATATACAAAATGCGCACAATAGTTTTCATTTATATACAGAGTGGTATCTTAAATTATACATGGTGAGTTTTTTTCGATGTTTACTGAAAGGATCTTGAAAGCTATTGCTATTGCATTGGTCAGCTTGCCCCGATGGACATTTCAGATTAAAAAAAAAATCCATAGCTCACTTACAATTTTATGAAAAACGAAATTTTATCATATCTTCTTTATTATTAAAAGCACAAAACCTTTTAGACAATTTTTGGCATCTAATTTTATTGTAGCATTCTTTCATTTGCTCATTTAAGGAAATCTGTATCTTTGGTAGTTTCTAATATCCCTTCACTAAATATCGAAAAAACTCATCTTGTATCGAAGCCGATTTGCCGTTTTTAAAATATCTTTAAACACAGTGTTAATTAATTTATAGCATTCGTTACAAATATTGAGTATGCTGGATGTGTAATTAAAAAAAATATATTAAAATTTCCTAATACAGTTTGTATTAGTTTTAATTATAAATATTAATTAAAATCAGAAAAAAATAAGTTTATTTTCTTGGGGAGGAGCTAAAAATTATGTAATTTACAGAGGGCAACACTGCGCGATTGAACAATTTTTAAGGCGATATAGCTTATATGCGCAACTAAGACTGCACAATTAGAAAAAGCTTTATTTGTCCATTATGAAGATATTAGTAACACTAGTATAAAAGAAAGTTTGTTCGATTATACAGATTTTTTCCATTCTAGTCTTCTTCGAAGTTTTACGATACGTTAAATTCAACGTCGCAGTGCGGTTACGCCATTTTAGAAGATTCGAAATGGAGTCATTACGATTTTGCCATTGCCAAAACATTGCCGATTTTACATCGACCAACATTCGACAGAATTAAAGACATGGAACAGGGAAAATGTAATGCGTCATTACTGATTTCTGAACAATGAAGTGGCTGAGCAAAACAGGTAGATTTATTGACATTATTCCTCCTATCTCCCATCCGGTTATTCCCAGAATTTGTCCCGTCGAAACTAATTTTTTACACTAATAATTTTTGCCAAAATATTATGGTCATAGTGAGTCGTACAACTTCTTCTAAAGGCTTTTATCCCATTGTGTGTGTGTTAATTGATCAAAGAACTAGTTTAATATTGTTCAGGTTCGTAAGTGAAATAGTCAAACACTTACACTACCTTTATTTAAACTAATAGAATATTCAAAACTGAATTACAACCCTATCACTATTAGACCACTTAACTCGCCCTTGATTTACGTACTAAGTTATGTTATTATCAGTGACCTGCCCTCCTCACACAGGGAGTCCCGAAATTAGACGTCAATTTTTTACCTACGCATTTTACTCTCTATATTGATTATAGTTTTCCAACTGCCATAGTTACTAAACTTTCTATTTTTATTTCAAAATTGATTTGAATTCAATTGACTAAAACTTTGCATTGGTTCATCTTCACGTGAGGGTAAAACGGGAACAGAATTACAGAAAACTTGTTGATTTATAGTAATTTTGACTTCTAAATTTGAAATACTGGCATTTTAGTTGATAATGTATTTGAAAATTTTATGACAAACCGTAAACGAAACTAAAATTTTTATAATCCCTGGTATGGAGTAAAATACGAGATGTTGACGTTTAATTTATTAACACTGGCACATGCAGGCTGAAGAATCCGTAAATTATCTAAGAAGAATGAAATCGAACGATCCATCATCAAATATTATTCCCCATGACGACTACAGAATAGGATTGAACCGGTTTTGTGAGTTTTTACTTATTAAGTTAAGGAAAAAGTAACCTTGGCAACGTTGCACCTCGGTTTACAAAAACATTGTTATACAAATATGATATCCTAATTTCTTTAAAGATGCGATCGCAGTTTGAGAGTTAT